CCCATTTTTCTCGAATTGCCGTATGGCCATGGACGGCACCCATATCCCAGTGGCTGTCCCATCGAGCATGGTTGCCCGATTCCAAAGTCGGAAGGGCGTCACAATGAACGTCTTGGCTGCCTGCGACTTCGACCTCAAGTTCACATTCGTTCTGGCTGGCTGGGAGGGGACCGCAGGAGACGGCAAGATGTTCGAAGCGGCCAAGCGATTGGGAATTGAGGCAACCGGTGACCAATTCGACTTGATGGACGCTGGCTTCGTACTCTCGAAGCATTGCCTCACTCCATATCGTGGGATGCGTTACCACTTGAAGGAGTATGGGCGGGGGTCACGTCGTCCACTGACCAAGGAAGAAATCTTCAACCTCCGGCACGGGCAGCTTCGGAATGTGATTGAAAGGATTTTTGGCATTCTGAAAAAGCGTTTTCCTGTGCTTGTGTATCCAGTTGAGTATGATTTTGCCTTCCAAGTGGATATGGTTTTGGTATTGTGTATGTTGCACAATTTCATTCGTATTCATGGGGACAATGACTACTTTGATGCTGCTCCGGACGAAGCTGCCGCCGACGATGAAGCTCAAAGAAACGACCGAGTTGAAGATGCTCTACCAGACGAGCCAGAAAGCAACGAAGCCAAGCTTTGGCGAGACTCAATTTGCTTCAGCGATTTGGAGCCAGTACCAAACAACACTGCGCAACCGCCGTCGACAGAGACAAATAAATTAGATAATGCACCAAATACCATTTGATTATTCATGAATGGCGTGCTTGCTCATCTTGATGCGAATGTGACGTCGCAACCAGATTTCTCGGGACTCACCCCGCATACGGACGAATTGAGTGGCCTTTGCTGGATCCTCGATGACTTCATATGCGAAGGACATCTCTTCCCCATCCAAAATGTCGTCGAAGTCGTCTTGCAAAGCATCTGTGGCGACTTCAACCGGGCATCTTTCTTTCGTCTTGCCGCCGGTGAGACCTTCAATCAGCAAGGCCACATCCGCCTTGCCTGACTGGCGCAGTTCCTTCAGTTCCGAGATCATGGCAGCGCCGACAGATTTGCTTCCTTTCTTCACCGGCATGTCCCCAGCTGAGCTTCGTCTCTTCTTTTTCTTGGGCTGCTCATCTTCGCTCAGCTGATTCTCGTTGTCGTTGATGTCTTGAGAGTTCAAAGCAAAGGGCAAGCCTTGCGGTAAATCGTCGTCGTCTCCATTCAAATCAAATCCCTCGTTCCACGGCTCCGTTTGATCGCTGTCTTGAACAGAGGGTTGAGTGGGCGGTTCGATAGTTGATAAGGCAAACTCGCCAGTCGCAAGTGTTCCGTCGTAGAGCTCTTGGCAATGCTTGAATTGGGGGAACCGTTTCGTCTGCCAAAGGGCCCATTTCGATGGTTTGCCTAGGAGAAAGTGGGACCACGATCCCTCAAGGCAGATGAAGCGCGACGTGGTGGTCTCGAAGCTGACTCCAGATGTCTTGATGATCTGGACTGCTTGAGCGTACTGTTTCTTCATTTCTGCGTGGCGAGCCTTGAGCTGCTGCATGGAGTAGTTCACCTTGTGTTCACGGTTGAGCTTGACAAGCGCAGCCAACCAGGCTTCTCTCTTGAATCCACTATGGGAGCTCTTGCCGAGTACTTTGGATTGGTAGATCATCTCCACCATCCATGTGGAGTCCTTCTCCTCGGTCCAGGATGCGCGCGTGTCCTCCATGGCAGTCGTGATTGCGCGCGAAACTTTGATCAATCTATCCGGATAATACGACGGTTTCTATTTTTCTTGTCTGGCTCAAGAATCCGGTTTTACTGTATAATCGAGATATTTCGTTTGCTGCATTCTGTGAAAATGCAGGACCGTACTATTCGGATTATTGATATTTTTTCAAATGTTCATCCAGACGGGCCCTTACTATTCGGATTATTGATATTTTTTCAAATGTTCATCCAGACGGGCCCTTACTGTACAGTTAATTCGATATATCTGACTATTTGAGCGGAAAATCACTATTTGATTCGGAGGCTTACTATATTTCAAATGATGTTCCATTTATTTCGATTTTAGATGCAAATCATATAAATCGAAGGTGGTGATAGATATGAGTCGACGTGAATCCTCTACAATCCTACAGCTTGTAGCACTAGTTGTTCTACGGAGACTTGGATGCAATGGAAGTTACAGTGTACTTCCTGATAAACCAGCTTGCAATCGCGAGAACTGCGAAATATGATACTAGGATATATATTAGTTTAAGAGGTATCTTGTGAATATTTAGCCAATCGTAATATTAATACAACCAACCATCATTGTTTTTGTTGCAATGGTTGATATTTTGGCGATTTCATAAATTCCCCAAAATTGGCAAATTTGGGCTAATAGCACAATAACATTTTTGAAGTTCGAAGACAATACATTCATTCAGCAATCATATGTATCAGTACCCAAGTACTTCGGGTTGAATTCATCAACCAATGAGAAAAATCATATCTACAGCATTGATGCGGTATTGTCAACTGAGAAAACAGAGCGACTTCCTATATTCCCTGTCTCGTCGTCTGGGCGACCACCATCGTTGTGAATATAGTTTGTCTGTTCTTGAACGCCCGTTAAAAAAATGCATCTATACTGCAATGTGATTGGGCGGAAGACGCCACATGTGACAGTTGCGAGTTTGACAGTCGCACTTTTCAAATTGCCCCATCCACAGGATGCCGATCCTCAGCACGACGTCGCCGCCCATGGTTGCGCACCTCAGCCGCGCCATGAGCATGCCAAGCAGTGACTTTCTGCAATACAAGATGAGTACAGCCAAGACCTTTCACATCACGTCGCCTAGCATCTCTACTGTGTGGCATCGTGGCGCGGCGGCGCTCATTCAATGGGAGTGCACCTCGAACATCTCGGAAGTGCGCCTCGTGCTTCTCCGCACCACCAACGCGAACGCGTACGCCATTGTTGCCGACCACGTGGAGAACAATGGCTTTTTCGTGTTTTCCCACGTCCCGACCACCCTCCCAAGCGGCGACGACTATTTCTTGCGTATCTTGTCGATGGACGGCCACCATGGCGCCGACACGAGTTGCTTCTCCATTCGGTCCTAGTTGGAAGAACGGCTTGTACCGGTTCCCCATATCTTATAAAATATATTTAAACTTACCGTGTCACTGACATCATCCACAAGACGTTTCTAGTTCCAACTTGGTCGAGAATATAGACCATTGCATGACATAGAAAATCCCCACAACAGTAGGCCACGTCGCGTGAAATAGATGTGGCCTTGTGTTCGTACACATAAAAGCGATCGCAAAACAATCCATTGCGAACGACGCATCATATTAGCATGTAGAGTGCATTTGTGCCAGTGGAATCTTGGCTACATGTATCATACAAGCTTATGGAATTATAGTGAGCCGTCGAGTTGATTAAGTAGTTGGGGGGCGTCGGCTGATAAGAGGCATGAACTACCCATATCGAGGGAGGGCTGGGGGGGGTTTCAAGTAGAATTGAACCCTCGACCAAGGAAACTGTTTTCACTGGCGGTAGGCGGCCGTGCAAAGATCCAATGTATGGCCAGATAAGGGTATGCGCTACGCAGTTGCTCGAAATCGACTGACTTACACCAAACAAATTCCCCTTAACGTTAACTTGTACCAGTAACTACTAACACTCCGGAGTTCAGTCTCGACGCAATGTAGAAGTCCTACATAGCATTACTCCGGAGTAGACAATTCCAATGGAATGACATCTTCACAGAGTAACGTAGTGACGTCTTTGAATTAATCACCACACATTTCTCATACTATTAATAGTATGATAATACAGTGTGGGCTTAGTGTATTGACAGTGAGCAGAAATGAGCAATAGGAATTGAAGGACATTCTAACTGGGATGATTTATTTTAATCACCACTATTCCTTCAGAAAAGTATCCCGGTCCTATAGTGTAATGGTTAGCACCTAAGACTCTGAATCTTGTATTCCGGGTTCGAGTCCCGGTAGGACCTATGTTTTTCCCTCACGGATGTGCACTCCATTATCAAACGTTTTACAGGAAATTACCTGATGCCAACGACGGGCTCCCAAGCATAAAAAAAGTTCCCTTCCACGAGACTTCACCGAGATGTAAAGCGACGACGACGTACGTACTCACGTCTCCATTTTTACAGTTCAGGTTGCAGTGTTCGCGCTCAATTTTCTCATCGCCGTTTGGTTTTATTCGTCGTTGTGTGGAGGTGATATACCTGAATCGACAACGTTGGTGTCGACTAGATTGCCCGAGTGGTCTAAGTCACTTGGGATGTCTGCCATGATTGCATTTGAAAGTTATTTACAATCTGGCCAAGCCTTTTGCATCGAGAAAATAAGCCTCAAAACTCGAAAATGGTGACGCCAATGAAACCACTTCTCCCCACTATGTGGGACGCCTTAAACTTAGGACGGTGCCGACTTGTATGTACTACTGATGGACGGTCATCGGTGTAGCGATTGACACGACCACATTGAATGCGCGCAGGATCCCAGCGTCTCCAATGCACCATTAAAGGATGTGACCAAACAGTCGTACTATGATGAAACATCGTCTCCGATTCAAGATGAATGCATCTGAAAAGTGGAATTTCAACTCATGTCGTTTGCGATACTAACGTTATTACAGTAATAACGTTACCGGTTAATATTCATGCAATACTAGTACTATTAAAATAGTACTAGTATTGCATGAATATTAACCGATTTTTTTGCCGCGATTCTATTGGGCACAATATATCCAATGAAACGTAGGTCTCATATTGACAATTCTGGAAGCATGCTCTACGTCCTGTATGGAAGCGCCACTGGCACTGGCCAAGATGTCGCCGAGCAAATCGGTCGCATGGCGACAGCGAGGAACATTCCCGTGGTCGTGTCGTCGATGGACGCGTTCGATATCCAGCAGCTTCCCACAATCAGCCATGCCGTGTTTATCGCGTCGTCGACAGGGGACGGCGAAGCTCCGGAGAACATGACCAACACATGGAAGTTCCTCCTTCGGAAAAGCTTGGCGGTGGACTCTCTCCATGCCATGCACATGGCTGTGTTTGGCTTGGGCGACTCGAGCTACGCCAAATACAACACGGTGGCCCGACGATTGCATGCGCGACTGCTTCAACTCGGCGCCGTCGACATCATCGATCGTGGGCTAGGCGACGACCAGCACGAGCTCGGGTACCACGGCGCGTTGAATCCGTGGCTGGACAGACTATGGGTGGCCTTGCTTCAACTGGAACCGTTCCTGCTTCCGCTGGGGTTTACCATCGACGACAGTCCAAAGCCAACGCCGCCAAAGTACCTCGTCCGAATCGTGGCCTCTGACGGCGTCTCCCAGCCCTCTCGTCTTCATTCGTTCTACGATCCTCCCAAGACGGCCCTGGACGCCAGTCGCCTTATCCAGGCCACGTTGACCAAGAATGAGCGGCTTACCGCCGCCGACTGGAGTCAGGACGTCCGCCACATTGAGCTAGCCTTGCCGGCGTCGGCACCTGTGTACTCTGCTGGGGACATTGCGCTGTTGTATCCTGAAAACGTAGATGTAGCCACGATCGACCGCTTTCTCAATGCGACGCTGCAGCTGCCACCGACCACATGGCTGGCCATCGAGCGTGTCGACGGCAACGCGTTGGACCTTCCGCCGTTGGTCACAGCAGGGGAGTTGATGCGAAAGTACTTGGACGTGTTTGGTACGCCGCGTCGGACGTTCTTTGAGCGTTTATCGCTGTTCACGCAAGACATTGACGAGGTACAGGTCGTCGGTCTCGATAGAACAAATACCCCCGATTCAATTTGGGGTGGAATTGGTTGGTGTAGAAGGAAAAGCTCTTGGAACTCAGCGCCCCTGACGGCGCTGACCTTCTCCAGGACTACTGCATTCGAGAACGGCGCACGTACATTGAGGTACTTGCCAGCAAGCACTCAGTACGTTTGCCAGTCCACCATGTTGACTGCAGGTTCTGCAAGACTTTTCGACGTGCCATGTTCCACTGGAGTTTCTCCTTGAGCTCATTCCGCGACTGGCCCCGCGGGCGTATTCAATCGCGTCGTCGTCCACCCTGCATTCGGGCCAAGTAGACCATACTACAATATATATATACCAACGTACGTAGTCACGGCTTATATATTTTTTTTTATTAGGTTCATTTAACCGTGGCGATCGTCGACTACTTGACGCCATACAAACGATCAAAGAAGGGCGTGTGCTCGGCGTGGCTGCAAACCCTGGAACCCGGCGCCGTGGTTTTCATGTGGATTAAGACGGGGCTCTTCCGCCTCTCCCCCGCCATCCACGCGCAAAATGTGCTGTTGATTGGCCCTGGAACAGGGATTGCCGTTATGCGCGCCATCGTTCAAGAGCGTCACGCGCATCGTGGTCAGACTGCCGTTGGGGGCGACACCCACGTGTACTTTGGATGTCGACATGAGACCAAGGTAAGGGTGAGACGAGGACGATACGTAAACACCCAAATGGTATTGTCCTTTTACACGGACTTTTGTGCTAATTCTTTGCCAAATCTATCGATCATATTCTTTGTACTGTATGTCACAATGGTCCAGTGTCACTCTAATTTAAGTGATTGGTCGAAGAGTGAATTTGATTGGCCACTTGATTCGTGTTCTGGATTTTGATTGGTCGTATATCGATTGTCTGCCGATTTGGCGATTCTGGTCATTCGATTGAGCACCCCACTCTAATTTCGAATCGAATATCTCGACAATAATACTGTTCGATGAAATGTGGCCATATATTGAATTCTAGGACTTCCTGTATGGCGCCGAGTGGAAGCAACTCGAATCCAACCGAGCCATCACGTCGTTACACGTGGCCTTTTCGCGCGACCAGGAAGATAAGATATACGTGCAAGCCAAGTTGGCGCAACAAAAAGCTGCTGTCTTTGCCGTGCTCTCCCAGGTATATCCCGTATCGATGATGACCTTCGAGCGTGTGGCTAGATGGTTGAAGGTTCTTTATGTGTAATTGAACTGATTGGACCGTCGTAGGGCGGGTACTGCTTCGTCGCGGGGTCGGCCAAACGCATGCCATCGGACGTGTACTCGACCATCCGAGACATCGTCGCCAGCGAAGGCCGCGTGTCCATCAAGGAAGCGGACGTGTTTATGAAGAGTCTCGTGCGCCAGAAGCGATACATCGTCGAGTCTTGGTCGTAGGAACAACTTGACGACTCGATCCTATGACAACAATACTTCCAAGGAGTAACGACAGCTAATTAATGTAATACTCGGTGCGTTGGAATGGATCCAAACCTCGGCGTTTGATTATATACTGTCGTCGATGAACAGCAATTCTTGATGCAATCACTGCTGCCACTATAATCGAAAGGCGCCCAAGATGTAAGTATGTACTAGTAGTAACGTTAGTATGTGTGCGTAGTTTAAGTATATGAGTGCGAGCGATGCAGGGCTATGATTACCGAAGTTGACATAACATGACGTTGCCAGGTACAGTTCGTCCAGCCAAAGCTAAAAAAAGATTCAAATCGCAGTAGAGTAAGACAGATGAGTTTGGGAAAATGACTAATAAAACGTTTTGGTGATTCCATTTAAAACGTTTACGTTAAACCCAGTTTGCACCTGCTTTTGCTGTCCCTACTTGCGTTAATTCAAGTTTAGACGCGTGTTTACCCACTACACGCCAGTTTCGCTTGAAGTTGCAAATTGGTCATTCTGGCGTGTGAGTCATCTACGTATCGTTGCAATCGGATTGGTCATTATAGTTAAAATACGCAGTATGATTGGCTAATATCCTTGCCAGTGACAAACCTGAGTCACATTTTTACGGTTGCTTCGTGCACAAAACGAGATGGTGGGCCAGAAGCGCAAGAAGTCAGCAGTTGCCGCCGAGGTCGACGACGAACTCAAGGAGAAGCGGCGTGTTCAATGGAAACTAAACCAGCGAAACAGTCGTCAAAAGCGAACTAACTTGGCCAGCACCCTCACAAAGGAGAACAGCGACGCAGCCGACGCCATCGAGGCGCTAGAGCGTCGGTTGGAAGCGCTCGCCGGCAGTGCCGTCGTCGCGCGGGAGCCCATGTCCGTGTTCCGCGGCAACGCGGCCGTGCGGATCATCGATGAGTACTACCAGGTGTTCCAGAACGGTTTCGCCACGTGTCCCGTCCAGCAGCAGTTCCAGTACGACTTTGTGCGAAAGATCATGACGACGTCCACGAGTTTTATGAACGCGCAAGGCGCCGAGAGCGTCGTGAACCAGTGGCGCCTCATGACGACATCCCACCACTCCCTTCGCATCCGACCACTCAGTTGCGAGTACATGAAGGAGGAAGACGGCGTCGTGGTCCGCGCCGTGTCCAGGTACATCGTGCGCATCTCAAGAAACACGCTGGAAACGCTGTATCCGCATGTGCTGAGTCGGGAGGCCCTCGTCCAGCACCTCGTCGGCCTCGAGGTGGACGCATTGGACACGGTCCACTCGTACTTTGACGGGGACGGCCGCATCATCCGCCACGACGTCGTGATCGACTTTGTGAACCCGCTCATCAAACTCCTCGGGAACGTCGACCTCGCCGCGGAGGTGCTCAATGGCGCCCACTTGGCAGACAACGGCCTCGTGGACATTGAACGGAACGACAAGCGTGCGCAGAAGGCACTGCTGCATGGGGATGTCGGCCGGCCGTTTCATGGAGGCCAACGAGCCGATCTCGCGATGCTGCTGTCATCCGGTCTCTGACAACAGCACGGCGACACTTTTTATAACTATATTAACACCAAATTCGACCTAGCAGCAACAAACATGCTTGATCGTGGCAGGTTAGCCTAAAATTCGCGTACGAGGAGGCCTGTTCACAAGTACTTTTACCTACCGGTAGAGTTTGTGTGGCTTACCATTGATTAGCGTCCTTCAAGTTTTGTACTCCGAATAAATTTTATACACATATTATGCCTTATTTCTTTTAATTGCGAGAAAAACAACAACACCTACCACATCAGGCTCTAAATTTAAACCCGCTGTCTCCAACATAAATGGGACTTGTTATTGCTTCCTCCGCTCCGCAATACTGGAGACATATAATTCTCGGAACGATATCTCAGGCCAATAATCCCAAAATCGAACTAAATTTAGACCACAGATAGCCAATCAAAAGACGATTCTGATCTTTTTATTGTTTCTTGTCGCTTCGCAAGCACCTGGCAGGACCCGCTGCTCAGGTCACGAAATTTTCAAACATACGCCACACAGTCATGCTTAGGAGGGCATGCAAGTCGTTGACATCAGCCGCTTGCACGACTTGCTGGTTCAAATCCCTGGCCGAGCAGGCCCTAAGGCCCTACGGTCTAGGGACGCATCGGTTGCTCCACCAGCCCGCTCGCTGTCGTGTCCGTCATGGATGCCTTCATTACATTTTACGTTTGTATGTGGACTGGTGGCCAAGTCAGCACATGATGAACCTTCTCGTCGTAAAATCAAGTTTGTGAATAAAAATACACTTTTTGATGGTAGAGCCCATACAAACATTAAGATAAAAATGCAGGGAAACCAATGTCACCAGTTTTACGGAATAGAGGAAGTATTAAAGTAGATTGAAGGTTGATAAAATGATATTAACTATTACTACGTAGTATTATTAACAACAGTAAGTACTTACAGTTCATAACTTTTGTTTACAGTTAATGTTACTGTTAATTTGGGATGGACCGCTCAAAACAGCACTCAATATCCTGAATTACAAGGGTATCGCACCGTTGAACTATTTCGAGCGAAGTTTTCTTTCCTGCGAGACAGCTCAATTTGCAAGTGCTCATGTCGAAATTGCTGGCAACGTTCATGGGCCGTCTGCATCGCCCGAACCTCCTTCAAGCCCAAGGCTACATTGGCGGGCGTTGGGTAAATGCTGTCTCGGGTATGTGTGTCAATGGATGACGCAGTTGTGTCATTGTTACCTCGAGCTAGGTGCAACTTACGACATTCAGAACCCATCGACTGGTGCCAACGTGGGCAGCATTGCTGCCATGGACGTGGTCGACACGGAAGCTGCGGTCGCGGCCGCGGGTGACGCGTTGGCGTCATGGAAGTCTCGCACGCCGTTTGAACGCTCCGGTGTGTTGCAGAAATGGGACCGGTTGTTGCGCGACAACACGAATGACTTGGCGTTCATCATGGCCACCGAAAGCGGCAAGCCGCTGGCCGAAGCCGCGGGGGAAGTCGCGTACGCCGCCGACTACTTGCGCTTCTTCGCCCACGAATGTCTTCGGCACGAAGGGTTTCTCGTCCCCAGCCATCTTCCCGGCCGTCGGTTGATGGCGATGCGGCAACCCGTTGGTGTGTGTGCAATGATTACTCCGTGGAACTTCCCCATTGGGATGCTGGCCCGGAAGGTGGCACCCGCGCTGGCCGCGGGGTGCACGGCGGTGGTGAAACCGGCAGGCACGACGCCACTGTCGGCCCTGGCCTTCGCCAAACTTGGCCACGATGCCGGGGTGCCGGACGGAGTGCTCAACATCGTGCCAGCAGCTCACGAAGCGGCGCCACGCATCGGACGCGCCCTGGCCACCCATCCCACGGTAGCCATCGTCCTCTCTCTATTTGTGTCTGATGCAGCTGCCATGATCACGATGTGTGGTAGGTACGCAAGTTATCGTTCACGGGCTCGACGTCAGTGGGCAAGTTGCTGGCAGCGCAATGCGCCACCACCATGAAGCGCGTGTCGATGGAGTTGGGGGGCAACGCGCCGTTCATTGTCTTTGACGACGCCAACATGGACGAAGCCATTGACGGGTTGATCCAGGCCAAGTTTCGCAACACGGGGCAGACGTGCGTGTGCCCCAATCGCGTGTTTGTCCAAGCCACCATCCTGCAGAAGTTCACTGGCCGACTGGTCGACCGCGTGCTGGATCTCACGCTCGGAGATGCGGTGTCGTCGGGTTGTCACTTGGGGCCGTTGATCACGTCGGCGGCGGTGGACAAGGTACTGCCGTGTGAAACAAGGATTTGATATACCATGATTGGGTTTGACTAGGTGATGGGGTTGGTGGGGCAAGCGGTGCGAGCGGGGGCGCAGGTGCTGGTGGGGGGTCGTCCGCATCTAGCCCTCGGGCCCAACTACATGCAGGCCACGGTCCTTGCCAAGGTGACGATAGACATGCACATCGCCAACGAAGAAGTATTTGGCCCGGTGGTGCCGCTCCTGGCGTTTGAAACAGAATCCGACGTGATTGATATGGCCAACGCCACGGACATGGGGCTCGCGGCGTATTGCTTCACGTCGGACCTGGGACGCGCGTGGCGCATGTCGGAAGCGCTGGAAGCCGGCATGGTGGGCATCAATGCCGGAGTGATTTCGGCGGTGCAGGCGCCGTTTGGCGGCATCAAGCAGTCTGGACAAGGCCGCGAAGGGTCAATTGTGGGGCTGGTACGTTCATGCTTGGTCAACTATATCACGTCAGGATGATCCGGTACGGATGGTGACGGGAATGGTGTAGGACGACTACACGGAGCTGAAGTACGTGGCCATGGCCGGGCTGAGTTGAGTGGGGTTGGAGTTTCTCTAACAGACGAGTAACTTGGACGGGTTGAATGTTTGAAGGACAAGTCAGTAATATGACCGATATTGTATATGGTGTATTATTTATACTTCGAAGTAGTTTTACTGTAAGCAAAACAATTTCCGGAATTGTTCACAGGAAATTGCTACCATCACAGATTTGTGAACATGGAGGACCCGACGTGTGTCCTGGGGCAACTGTCGACATATTCCAATTAGTACGGGGGTACTATCAGATCAATGATTGACACTGATAAACAAGATAGACCAGGCAAGTCTACGTCTTTTTAGTAAGCGTGCGCAGCAGTTCTACGGTGCTTTGCATAAACTCGAGTTGCGTCTGACGTTCGCGCCGTTCTAGAGCAACGCGTGCGTCCCGCTCTGCCTTGTCCACACGATATCGTTGCTCGTCGAGCTCAATCTGGCGCAAAGCTAGCGCATTGGCCTGCTTCTGTACCTGTATTTCCTCGCGCTTGTACTTGTGTGATGCCTTCATCATTGCTGTCAAGTCGGCGACCGCAGTGGCTACCACTTTCCACGCGATGGCTCCGTCTTTCTTGTTGGACGGCGATAGCTTGTCGTCGTCCTCGCTACTTGGTGCCGCATCATCTGAAACCTTCCGCTTACGCCCCGTCGTTGCAGCCTCGCGCACAAGATGCCGTTGCGGCTCCCGCCTGTCGGCCTTGATTTCCTTGTGGCCTTTGATGCGTTTCGTTTTCTCAGTTGCCATGTCCATCTACATAACGTGCATCATTAACGTGCTTGATTCCAGTGGGCGTTCTACCGCGTTGCGCTTCTTTCCTCCACGCACGTCCTGCTCTACGCGCCACTTTGGCGCATCACGAACGAGTCGCCAACAAGTAAGGACGGTCGTGCGCTCGAAGCCGTTGAGTTTGGCATCGGGGATGGCTTGCATTTCGTTGTCGATCACGCCTTCTTCATTGGATCCGGACGGGATGGACTTTAGCGCGTTAATGACGGCGCCGTTGAAACAGGTCAAGACGGGACACAGCTTCTTCCACCGAGACGTGATGGCGGGAGGGGTGCGGTCGCCGTGAATGTTGGAGGTCTTGTGCTCGAGCCAATGCTCGTACACACGCTGGTTCAAGTCTGAGGCCTTCAGCGCAGCGCCAGTAGACGAAATTGCGACCCATGACCTCGTGAGCTGGACGTCCTCGGTCGCGTCCCACGATTCCCCGCGAGCCATTTCGAGGTTTGTGTCAAGAGGTGAACAGAATGGTATTTTTTGCATTATTTTTGTGTGCTACTATTGATAGTATACTTTATTTATTATGCTGATAATGGTTCCTTCAAATGTCCCACAGGAGTAGAATTCACGGGAAATATCCTGTACCAAGTCTCTCGAAAAAACGTACACCCGAAACACATCGCCAAACCCAGTGCCTGACATTTACCACACGAATTCGTCGTAGTTTGCCTCACTACATATTTCACTAGATGTCGTCTTTTGGCTACTTCAACTTTAAAAGTGTTTTGGTAAGGTACTCTGCTCGCACTCAGCCAGCACATCACAACATGCGATGCCCATAGTGTCATTCTGCTTTTCTCGGGTTTGTTACAGGTACCATGAACACCAACCACCAAGTGTTTGCCACGCCCGTGGATTTGAAGCATGACGACGCCAAGCTGGCATCATCCGAGGAAGCCATTCCGCAGCACGTGCTGGACGACATCGCACTCCACCACGGCTTCATTTGGTGGTCGATGTTGTTCCTCAACGGGTCGGTGCTGTGGGCGTTCTACTCATGCTTGTCGGTGCAAAACTATTACGAGGCCAAGTTCAAGGCCGCCAACTTCAACTTTGCGTACTTGACGACGCCCGTGTCGACGTGGCCCATGTTTGTCGGCCACGCGCTCCAGCTCTTCTTTGGCTGGGACAAGAAGATGGACATGTGGCACCGGGTGATTGTCGGCTTCAGCCTCTTTGTCGCGTGCGCGCTGGTCATCCTGGCCCAAGAAGCGTTCGACACACACGCCACCACCGGCGCGACCCTCGTGTTCCTCTCGTTTGGCCTCATGGGGGCCATCAACACGCTCACCGAGTCGGTGTTCTACGCGCTCTCGGCACTCTTCCCCGACTCGTCCTTCACCACCGCCATTCTGATCGGCGACGGCGCGTCCGGCGTGTTCACCATCACGCTCAACACAATCATACGGCTGCTCGTGGGGGGAACGAACCCCGCGCCCGCCGACATCGTCCGCATCAACTCGGTGTCGTTTTACATCTTCTTCAGCGTGCTCATCGTCGTATGTGTGATCGCCATGGTAGTCTTTACGCGCCTGCTCAAACTCGATGGCATACAGTATCTCGTCCTTCACAACAAGGCGGAGACGGCGCGCCGCCACGCTTCGGACGAGCGGATAGGCGACCACCTCGGTCGGCTGTGGCGCATCTCTCAAGTGATTGCGTTGCCGATGGTGTCGCAGTTTGTCGTGTTCGCCGTGTCCCTTACCGTGTTCCCGGGCATCGGGTGCTCGTCGGGGTATCAATACGCGGCGGGGGCGTCGTGGGCGGCGTGGTACTGCTCGCCGGGCATCATCGCAACGTACAATTACGGCGACTGTGCCGGTTGCGTTGTCGCTCCCCTGTTGCTCACTCGCCTCGATTTGAAGTGGTGCTTTCGGTTGACGTGGTTGCGCTGGGTGTTTTTGCTCTTGCTGCTGATCGGGTTGCCAGGAGCCAACCCCGTGACGCTTGCTGGGCCCACCAACTCGTTGTTTGCCTTTGACGGCGCCCGAGCATTTGGCCAGTTTTGGCAGTTGTTTCTCAACGTGTGGATCGGATTGACCAATGGAATTCTGTCCACGATCACGTTTGCGCTGGGGCCACGCCTCGTAGCGCAAGAAGACCGAGAGTCGGCGGGGGCCCTCATGGCATTTGCTCTGGATCGACCATCAGTTGGCAATTTGGGGCCAACCACTGGTTTGGCGCTTAAGCTCAACTCCCACTTAGTTGTCCGTGCACTACTACACCATTTTGCGTTTAATTTCAGCTTTTTTTCAAAATATTTCTACTAACCTCCGATATATTTCACCGAATCGCCAATAGTATAATTCACCCAACCTCCATTATATTTCACGCCGAATTGAAATTTGGCCATTATGTTTCACCCAACCTCCGATATACTACTAATTCACCCAACCAACACTTAATTTCACCTTTCGAAAATATATTTCACCTGACCACCGGTATATTTCATGGAAAGTAAATTAAAACCAACCCACGCAACATATTTACGACATCTACGGCTCAAGAACCAATATCCATGTCTTCCATGTTCTCAGCACGGACATAAAACGGCTCAAGGTCGGCCGTGTACACATACAAACGATTCGGCTCAATTCCTAATTCATAGTTGAGTTACATCTTTTAAGTCTGTCCGTCTGGTGGTGGCCCCATAAAGGCCGCGACTCGTTCGCGCAAAGATGTATTAACAAGTAATGCGGCTCTTCAACGCCGGCCACATATTCTCGACCGGGTTCAACATCGGGGAGTACGGCCCTAGTTTTAAGAACGAAGCGTCTTGACACGTCATGTTAGCGGTCAACAGAGAGACGTACCGGAGTTTGTGGTGCAGGGATGGCCTCTTCCATCGAGCTCAGATTCAAAAATGGTGAAAGCGCGCGAAACTCTTCGCGCGCTTCGATCTTTCTAGATTCCCAGCTCGAATTATAATGATTGTTAGGTGAATTATATTTTCGAAAGTTGGAATTAACCGTAGGTTGGGTGAATTATAACGCAGGTTGGGTGAAATATAACGGCGATATTTTACGTTGGCGTGAAATATAATGGAGGTTGGGTGAATTATATTGGCGATTCGGTGAAATATATCGGAGGTTGGTGGAAATATTTTGAAATAAAGCTGAAAATAAGCGCAAAATGGTGTAGTATATATAATTGACTCGCAATTTTCATTCTACGGTAGCACTTGTTGGGGCGGCAGCGACCACACGCTCTCGCTGGTGTTGGCATTGTGGTAGTACACAACTCCTGTCTCTGGGTCCATCATCTCTTCCCATGCGCTGTGGCCAATCGATCGCCGTGACGTGGCGCGCTGTGTGAGCTCGTCCAGAGGCTGCGCGTCAAACAGGTCGCGGCTTTGCTCGGGCGTCGGCGCCTCCCACCGATACTCGTGGGTATGACCATTGAAGTAGTAAAACATCCCCGAGCCTTCGTCGAGGCACTGGAACCACTTGTCAGTTGAGGTGTTGTTGGATTTCCACGGTGGCACAAGCTCGTCGTGAAAAATGTCCATCGCCAGCGGGCGTACAATTCGACGGACTTGGCTCCACGCGTTGTAATAGTACTTACGGTTCAAAGTTGGATCGAAGAGCTCCAGCCACCGGTTGGCGCCTTCGCCTACCGCTGCGCGGACCCGGAAGCCTCGGAAATGCCGCTGAATGGCCGTCGCGGACTTCTTCTCACGTCGGACCTTCACCTGCAACCGCGTCACCCGGTTCTCTTTGGTCTTGCGCTCGACGCCTTCAGTCAGCGGTTGCAGCTCGCGCTTGGCGGACCGCAGTTGCTTTTCCGCTTCGCTGCACTCCGCCACGGCGATCTCCAGATTGCGCGACTGGACGGCCACAGCCATGCGCTTCTTTTGAAGCTGGTCGGCCAACTGAACCTGCAAGTACCGCGTCAGGTACCGCTGCTTGGCGCCTGTGATGCGCGCCGAGTCGTGGAACTTGGACTTGATCGTCATGGTTTTGTCCAGCTCGGTCATCAATTCGGCTTCGTCCGCTTGGTCCGCCTTGAGAGCGCGCCGCAACGTGTCGACCTTGGTCGTGAGATCGGCAACGCGGGCGCCATACGTTTGAATCTTGACAAACAGAGGTTTGGCCACGACCTCCAACTTGCGCAACTCGACGTGGACTTCAGCCCTCTCGCGCCCTTTGTACCCCCGGAACATGCGCTGCAGCAACGCGAGGCTCTTGTCGCGCTTTTCCTGGGCGGCCAGCACCATCTTCATCGTCTTCATAAAGTTGCGACTCACGTAGCCCCGACACATGCTCTGGATCGTCCGCGCCGCCTTGTCTTCTTGCCGCCGCAGCTGCACGAGGCCAAGCATGATCATGCCCAGCTGCCGCTCGCGCACCCCGCGCCAGTTCTTTTGAATGCGAATCACCGCCCGAATCTTCCGCGCCTCGGCCTCTTCGATCAAGCGCACCTTCCGCGCCTCCCACGCCATGTGATGCCGATGCGCGCGTTGAATCTGCATCGCGCGGGCGTTCCGCATGCGCTCCTTCTCTCTCTCCACCAGTCGCTTGGCAAAGTCCTTCCGCCCATGGTGTCCTCGGTACACTCGCTGCAAGTAGCTCGCCGCGACTTGCTCTTTTTCCGCCTGGACACGTCGCAACTCGATCAGCTTCTTGCGTAGTGCCACGTCACCACGCCCCTTGTGGCCCCGCCACAGACGCTGGACCCGGGTAGCCGCCACTTCCGTCATGGCCTGGCGCCGCGAGTCGAGTTGAGCGATCCGTCGCAGGTCCTCTCGCATGCGGTGAACGACAAGTCGGTCTCGATGTCCCCGGAATATCTAACGTCATATCGTTCGACACAACAAATATGTGAGCCATCAATCATAAAACTCTTAGGCTGCAAACGTTACGATGCTCTAGTAATGTGTGATGTAGAACCTTTTGAAAGATCAACGCGGCGGCGTCTTGATGTTGCCGAATTTGCATGACACGACGAGCGCGACGACAGAGCATCTTGACTTTGTAATGTCGAAACGCCCGCTGGATCACACGGGTCTTGGCTTCCTGCACGATGGCCAGCCGCATGCGGCGATACCCAGCTCTCGCTAGGAACCCTCGGACGAGCGCTTGAATCTTGGGCAGGACATCCCGCACCACGCGCCGAAGCATGGCGCCGTAGATGCCGCCGCGGGCCAAGCACCCCCGCATGATGGCTTGAATTAAGATCGCGCTGGCTTGCTTTCGAAGCTCCAGCTCTTTCTGTAGAATGCTAAGGTGTTACATAACAATGTATGGACAAGAGCAAGCACTATGCCCACATGATTTTGCAACTCGATGGCGTTGGCCAACGGTTCAATGCCAAAATACGTGCTGGACCAGTCGACATACTCGAGCCGCGCGACCAGTTGATGCAGGTACCGACGTCGGATGCGGGGACAATTGGTCATGTTGAGTGTAAAGAGCTTCGTGCAGGCAGCTGTGAGCGTGTCGATGCCGGATTCTGTGATGCGCGCACAGTCCATGATTGACAGTGACGTGATGGACTTCATGTGTGTGGCTATCGTGTGCAGCACCTACGCTCGGTCCAGCCATAACCATCCTTCCTAGTACTTGGCTCTCACGGTGCACGTACGTACCTTGTCGCTGACGTGCGGGCACTGCGACACGTTCAAGTGCTCGAGAGATTTGCAGTGTTGGGCCAAGGCGGCGATGCCCCGGTTCGAAATGTTGGGGCTGCCGCTGATATCCAGCCATTTAAGTTGCGAACACGACGCGGCGAGGCGGAGTAGGTCGTCGTTGTGGGTGCGGATGCATCCGGCCAGTGACAAGCGCTCCAGCGCATGGCATCGGTAGGCCAGCTCGCGGATGGACCCGCTGCCCACATCTCGGCACCCCGTGAGTTTCAACGTCGACAGGTGCGGACACCCCGTGGCGATGGCGCGAACTCCCGCGTCGCGAACGTGGCGGCACCCGAACAAGTCCAAGTGCCGAAGGTTGCCGCACCACTTGCCGAGCTCCACGAGCGCCTTGTCGCCGAACTCGCCCACGTGCGCGCACTCGGACACATCCAAGTGCGTGAGGCCTTTGCAGCATTGAGCAATCTTGGCAATGCCAGCGTCCGAGACGGCCACGCATCGCGCGAGGACCAGCGTCTCGATGGTCCAGCAGCCAGCGGCGAGGGTCGCCAGCGCTAAGTCGCCGATCTGGACGCAGTCCGTCAAGTCCACAGTGACGAGGCGGCATTGATGAGCGAGGACACGGAGGCCAAGGTCGGTGACCTTGTCGCACTTGCGCAGGTAGATGCTGGTGAGACCAGGACAATGTCGAGCCACCGACCTAATGGGAGTTAAGGACGCAAGTAGTTTGGATGCGATATTGCTACGAGATTGAGCTGGGAACGCAATTGGTATGGATATATAAAATGAACGAAGTTGTACCAAATGCCGGCATCCGTGACGTCAATGCAATTGCTCAGTTTGAGACTGGTGAGCCCCGGGACTAGGTGGGAAACTTCTTGGACTGCGGCGTCCGTGACGGCGAGGCCGCTGTCGATGGCGTGTTGATACAAATCGATCTCGGTCCGGAACGTGCCGATGTCGTCCGCCAAGAAGTTGAGCAGGAACGACCGCATGCGCCTATGTAGATGACAGAGCTAACGCGTGAGCATCAACGATAGGATCGCGGTGACATGACCGAACCGTGGGCTCTTCATCTCATTTTCAATGGGTTTCAGCTTGGAATTGACACCAGGAGACCGTGGACGCTTCTTGGACCATGCTCTGGATATTCCGTTGGAGGATGTGTGACCACTTTCGTCGTCGTCGCCGCCGCCCCACACGGAGAGAGGCTTTCCAGGTGGACGTGTGAAGAGCAGGCTTTCGTCAGGGAGCAGACTCTCTGGTCGATCGTCACCTGCCACGCTGGGTTGAGACATGGTTCGCCGCATGGGGCTCTGAAGCTGCGGCATGTGTATATGCTCGGTGGAGTTGACATGTCGCCATCGCTGAATTGTCGGCTCGTCCATTTTGAAAATGTCGCGACGGTTCACTTTTTGGCACAAAGCGATACCTTTGAAATTCAATACTATAAATTTCATCAGGTTCAAATCATCTCAAGAAAATCCCGCGAGATTCGTCCAGCATGGCCGACATTGACATCATCGGTACTTGATGCCGTGGAGAATGGGGGGATGATAGCTCACACTTGGACTCATTAGAGAAAGCGTCGAATGGCGAAGTCCTCCACGAGTTTGGGGCGCTCAACACGCTGCTCTTCGTGACGATCCTTGGCATGTGCATCGTGTGCGCGTACTTGATCAAGGAGTACAAGTTCTACTACCTGCCAGAGTCCGGTGCTGCCATGATTGTGGGGTTGATCGTTGGTGCTTGGTACGTGCACTCCTCCATCATCACAAGCAATCGCTCAACAAGACTTGCAGCGCGCGGGTGTTCTACCCCAGTCGCAAGGAAATGGACTTTTTGAGGTTCAATGTACGACGTCCTTGTGGTCGATGTATCAGTCTCGCAACGATACCTTTGTGATTGTAGAAACTGCTCTTTTACTTCTTCCTCCTCCCGCCGATCATCTTCGAAGCCGGGTACTCGCTCCATCGGGTTTGTAGATGTTGCTTCATCACGTGTCCTCATGTATGCACGGCCGTAGAAACGCTTCTTCAACAACTTCATGTGCGCCCCCCACCTCTATCACGATCACCCCGCGAGTATCTAGCAAGTAATGCCGTCGCCATGTTCCATTCGTAGGACCATCTTGCTCTACGCAGTGGTGGGCACGATGATCTCGACGTTTGTCGTGGGCTTCTTGACGTTCTACGCTGGCAAGGTAATACATCCGTCCATCTTGAAGCTCAATTTGTTTCCCATTTGACTTGTAGATGGGTTGGATCTCCATCGATTCGTCCAATCCACTGGAAGCGCTCTTGTTCGGCGCGCTCATCTCGGCCGTCGACCCCGTCGCCACCTTGTCCATTCTGGGAAACCCCGAGCTGAACTTGGACCCTCTCTTGTACAGGTCTGTGGTGATTTATCAAGTTACAACGTCGTCCGACCGCCGCCGTTCTCATCGATGGAGAGGTCGCCAACTCACTGGACGAGCATGTGGTTGTAGCCTTGTGTTTGGGGAAAGCGTGCTCAACGACGCAGTTTCGATTGTGCTCTTCAACACGTTCCTCAAAGTACGTACACATGCATTTAGCAAGATGTTGGATTGCATGGATATATATGTATATATATATATACTAGTAGTATATTATATATATTTATATATTGGAGATTCGGTATGAATTTCCGGAACCCAGCCCCAATCTCTCTGATTGGTCCATCTGAAATTTCTTGTCTCTGATTGGCTACAATCCTTCGATTTATGAGCCAATGAGATGTCTCGGTGCCTATTGTTCTTGGTTGCGCGACCTGACGATTTGGGATATATTGGGAAAATTCAAGAAATGCGATAATATTTGCTGATAGAATTCTGGGGGGTGGTGTTTCCATAGTTTGAAGAATCGGGCAAAGAGTTTACGTATGGCGCGATATGGCTGCTCCTGATCGAGTTTGCCATGATTTCTTTGGGGTCGGTCGTCGTTGGATTTGCCACGGGGTACGTCCAGGCCAACGAGACAGTGATGTTCGCCACTCATTCGATGATATCCTTGTCAGGGTGGGTACCTTTGGGAATGACGATGTTGTGTAGACTGGGATGCTCGCTGTTGTGCAAAAACACAAACATGAACAAGTACCCCAAGTACGAAATCACGATGCTGTTTCTGTTTGCCTATGGGTCGTATTCGCTGGCCGAAGTGATCAAGTTGTCTGGAATCATGTCGCTCTTCTTCTGCGGCATCACCATGGCCCACTACAACACAACCAACCTCTCCACGACGTCGCAGGTCCGTTTTCAATGCTACGATATATATACATACATCGTACACGAGAATGGGACTGCTGCTAACTTGTTGGAACCCTCCGATTCCGCCACGGCATATCTGGCCGTGGATCTCGCATTCGGCGTGCAATGAACTAACACGTGATCGACGATGTAGATCACGTCCGAGTCGATTTTCCAGAGCTTTGCGCTCGTGGCCGAGTTTTTCGTGTTTCTGTACATGGGCATGGGCATCTGCGTAGGTCAATTCGGCCGGTGGGACGTCAAGTTCATGGTGCTCGCGATTGTGTTTTGCTTGATCGGGCGACTGTTCAACATCTTTCCGCTCAGTTGGGTGGCCAACTGGCAGCGCAAAGAAAAGGTCACGGCGCAGATGCAAGTTGTGCTCTGGTTTGCTGGTCTGCGCGGGGCCATCGCGTTTGCCCTGTCCCAGTACGTACGCCGACATGTTTCTGATGAATCGAACGACTGGTCCAGAATCGTCAGAACAAGACCGAGCGCCGCGACCGTCCATATATTGTTCCCTTACCATGATTCGAGTTGATGTGCATGCTGTTGTCGTTATTGGAGTAGGGACATGCCTGGCGCGAACCGGGATTTGTACACGACAACGACGTTGTCGGTGGTGATTTTCACGACGATCGTGTGCGGCGGGTTGACGGAACCCTTGCTGAAACAAACCAAACTCAAGGTACGAATGTTGAAAAATGCAGGGTACTGGCGATTACTACATACTAGTATGACTACTAACTAGATTGACGACGATGACTTGGACAACGATGGGGACGATGGGGACGAAGAGTACGGCCTTATTGCCGCACACGACGTATGCCCCTGCATGTGTGTATATATATATATATACCGACCGGTCCATCGTATTTAGGCGGCGGCATCCGACCACCCCGCCTCGCCCGACGGGACTGCCGCACCATCGTCGTCGATGCGGCTTCGTCAGCTGTCGGTCGAGTCCGAGATCAGTTATGTCGAGTCGTTTTGGGGCAATCTCGATGAAAAGTACATGAAGCCCGTGTTTGGCGGCGCGCCCCGTCGACTCGTCTCCAGAGTACGAAAAAAAAAGCCTCCAACGATTGACAATAATCGGATGCAATCGCGTAGAATGTGCCCAGTGCCAGTTCGCCAGTGGCAGATGGCGGCGCGAACCCGTCGCCCGTACAATAGCAGCCTTCATATGTACTACTAATTTATGTAGTATGATGTATATCCATTATTGTTGTGGTTGAACCACCTTGCACTTGTGATACGGGTCAAGTGCACTTTGTCTCGTGTTTGAACCACGCACTTCAACTTGGTCCCTTGGTGGATCTGCAACTTGCCTCGATTCGGTGGAGGACACGACGACGACGGGGCTGATGATGCTTTGGACACGTCGTCGTGGCATCTACTCGTCTGCCCAGTCCCCTGTGGGTCGTCGGTCACCACTTCTGGACCGCGCAGATGGCCCTTGTTGGCTTTCTTCTTTTTCCATTTGGAGGGTTTCTTAGGCGATGCGGTGGATGCTGCTTTGGGCTGACTGTCCTCCTCTGATGGGTCGTCCAGTGGCTCAGCGGGGGACGTCGAGACAGGCCGAGGTAGTGCCGATGGTTTCTTCTTGGACGAAGTAAATGCAGGGGGTCTCGTACAAGGGGATTTGTGTTGATGTTACCTGGGTTGCAGGTTCTTCGTGGCGACTTTGCGCTTCCTTTGCGTCAACTGTACGTCATACAACGACCACAACCACCCGTTCAGTGGACTTGTGTCGAACATCAGTTGGTTGTTGTGTGTCGTCATCGTACTGCGGGCTTGCAATGGTCGGCGAATTCAAAAAAGATCTAAACGGTAGCTCACGTGGTGAATGGATTCTCAAAATTGCAACAACCAGGAATGACCCTGAGCGACACGTGTACTTGTTCCTGAAAGAATACCACGGCGTCGCGGTGGTCGCACACCTACCGGTGCACATTGAGTGCCTTTTCCAAAGGTTGTCGTCTGCGATTACGTTGCAAATGTACGCCTTGCCGTCGATGACGCGATACGCTGACACGCGCGCAGAGAAGACAAAGTCTGCCGTAGACGCCATATCCTGCTTGGAAAAGTTGGCCTCTTGCGGTCCGTTCTGGGATATGCGGAGGAGCACGGCACTCCACGCTTTCTTGGACGCGTCGTCGTGAACATCTAGATATGCAACCCCCGACGACGTGGAGATGCAAATGCAGAATGGAACAGTGTCCACTGCGATACCATCTTGCGTGGGCGACCCAGGGGTCGGCGTGGAAATGTCGGCGGTATGCACCGGAAGCATCCACGTGCGGCTTGTCCAGCGCTCCACGACGCCATTATCGTTCCAACTCGTGGATTTGGCAGGAAAGGTAGGCGGTTGGTAGGTAAGTAAGTACCTTAAAGCAGATCATGTGGGCAGCAATGTCATCGAGTTTCAAGCACGCTGTATGCCACTTGCCCTCGGCGTCCATGGTGGACACCTTCCATGTTGAATACGACTGCTAAAGAATTACTGAAGTACTAGTATTAATACTGCATAGTAGATTGATTTACCCCGGAGTAACAATTAGATTGATTTACAAGCAAACGTCGTAAATTGTGAGAAATGCCGTTACACGAAAACGTGAAACTGATTTGTATTTTTATCGAAAAGAAATAAAATAAATATCGGTGTATATTAGGGATAAGCTCTCATGACGCGACGACGGTGAACAAGTCGCCGCGAACGATCTGTGTGCTATCCATGGACATTATCGAAATGAAATAGTCGGCTGCGGGTGTGGTTCCTGCTGGCACGGCCTTGTACATGAAGAGTCCATTGTTCTCGACGTGATCGGCAATGATAGTGCAAGCATTCGCGCCTTTCCGACGCAACACAATCCGGACCTCTGACACCGACATGTCGCGTCGCTCCCACATGAGAAAGGCAGGCTGTCCCCATCGCCAAACCGAGTCTTTGTTGGGAGAATGCACCATCGCAAATGCCATCGATTCGACCTCTAGCGCTACAAGGGTAGGGGCACTCCTAGATCTCGGCAGCACGAGAAGTGTCTCATTGTTCCGAGTCTGGGACGACGGGTTCGACATCGGGGGACTGCCGACGGAATGACTTCGTGCACCGATGATCGAAGCCGACGTCGCATAAGTTACATTCGACTCGTGCGGTTCTCGCTTGTCGTCGGGAAGGTCGACGACGGTGGGGTAATGCAGCATGGTGATGTGTGCGATATGTGGGCGTCGAGTAAAATTTGAAAGTGTGAAGATCGTTGCTTCCAGCACTTGAAGTAGGGATGAGCCAATGGGGTGTCGAGTTTCCCCAACTGGCACTTCAACATGTTTTAAACACGTTCCGTCAGTCTGTATCATCCAAGGGATGAAATCCACTGTATTCCCTCCCGTTCATGCTTCGACCTGTTCACCACGACGTGGAACGGCGACGGTAGATGCCTACGTAGCGGGCATACCCGCCACAGTCATTTGAAAAGGAAGTACCTAATAACGTTATGGCCAGTTTTTACCCGACGGGCGGCGGCAGGCGAAGGATTTGGCACAGTCGTCAGTGTTGTCACATGCAATTCATTGGCATACCGGTATGGTATGGTAGCCAAAACAAATGCCTGGAGATTTCCAACGTGGTAACCCATTCGAATGCACTATACACTTTGAAATAGACGCGGCGCTAGAACGTGATTCTGCTGCGACTGACTTCTGCAGCTGACGTTCTCGGCGGAGATCGCTGTGGACGTCGAGGTACATATACCGTACATGGGTCTATCGCAGAAAACCCCGTCAACGCGCCGTTAGAGGGTAGGGTCATCGAATTAGTGCCTTTGTTAAAGAGTGGATTGGAACAAATATAGGCACAGAACCAATACATAGTTGCGATCTCTGCCTTTTCTCGAACCCAAAACCCATTAGTCACAGGATGTATGTGTCTGCACTCGTCAGGAACAAGATTCCCGTCAACCAACATGGCGTCAGTCGCTGAATCAGGATGTGGGACCTCAAGGGATGCGAAGGATGCCAATTGGCGCCGCACGTACGGGAGGCGACAGTACTAGTACGGAGCTGTGGATATGGAGTTGCAACTTCGTAAGTAGTAGTTCCTTGCATAAAGGCGAAGTATAAGGACACACGTTGGGTAAATAGGATAGGTTTAAGTTATACTGGGATCAAGCTGATGGGCTGCTATCGCTCATCATCACGGCGAGATGGTGAAGGAGTCGCTGTCGACAAAGTGCTTGCCGTCCATAGACATAATCCGCAGGGAATAGTCCGAGTCGGGGGAAGCCAGACCTTGTGGCACACGCATGTAGACAAATAGCCCATTGTTCTCGACGTGATCTGCCACCATCTTGTGCGCCCCGCCTCGTTGCAAGAGGAGAATACGCACTTCCGACACCGACGACATCAAAGGGTTCCACTGAATCACCGCTGGAAGTCCTTGTCTCCACACAGTTTCCCTGGACGGGGCTCGAATGTGGACGAGTTGTGGCTTCGAGTTGATTGCGTGTGACGTCATGGAGGGCGAACTGTTAGATCGGGTCAACGATGACGGCGATGTAGGTGGCGGTGACGAGAGGGGTTCGTCGTCGTCGATAACGGGGTCGTCGGAAGCCGAGTCGAGGTACGCGAATGCGTCCATCTCTGTGGTCACCGATGCGTAGGTGTGTTTGTCGTTGCCAAACTTGGTGGTGTTCACCATCATAAGCGGAGAGTCGTCGACGATGACATCGCAGTTGAACATGTTGTGTGGTGTAGAGCGCAGATTTGAAAATGACGATTACCGCCTTCGGTTATTTTGAGAAATCCGTTTGCAGCTGCTTTTGTGTGGCACCACGAAGTCTTGGAGAACGCGATTGTGGACGCAAGTGAAATCGTGTGATTTGATTGGCCTAAACCCATTCGAAACCGATTTGATTGGTTCATTCTGAGCAAATCCAATTTGTAAGTCAAGTGCGGTGGCATCCACACAAAGGTGTCTCGGCGACGTCAGGGCCATTATTATGGTACTCATAACTCGACGAGGATGGCTATGAACGCGTTCATTTCATGGTGGTATTGCATGCTTGCACATGACCATGTAGTTGTACGTCACAGGAGGTTTGGGCATAGGCTGAGCTCGACGTGAGACCGACCACATGAACACTTGGGGAACTGAGAACTCATACTGTGCACGAGCCACAGGCGCATTCTCATTTATTTATCTCATTTGATTGGCTGATGGGATAAGTCCGTCGATATGATTGGCTAGTGAGAAATGATGCTGTCGCAATGTATCCAAGCGAAGTACTGCACTGTATAGTGCTTACTTCGAAGTACTACGTACTCAGAGTAGTAAGTACCTGGTACTACCTAGTACTTGTACACTGTGTTACAGTGTTTGTACAGTACTGTAGTACTGGAGTAACGTTAGTAAGATTAGAACTCAGTAAGCTTACAGTACTGTATTGTTGATCGTAAAGTAAACGGTACAGCTTCTAACGTTGTACTATGTAGTATGTAGTGCATTACGCCACACTTGCTGCCCTATTCTAGCCTCCACCGAGAACCGAGGGATGCCAAGAGTGTAATTGTTGTGAGGGTGGTGGCAGCCAACGTGAAACGAACGAGTGAGTTCGCCGTTTCAATCCGACAGTGAAGAAATCTCGAACTGCTTCCACAAAAAGAAGATAGCGCTGGGCGTTTCTATCTGCAATCTACGACGAACGCAATAAGAAATGGAAATGCAGAGCAGGTTCAGGCTGGACGGGGGGTGGATGATGCCTACCAGTATGATGGCGATCCCCCCTTGGCGAAGATTCACTTCTTTCGTGTCCTCGATGCTTCTGGTGGGTGCGCAAAATACGACCATCTGAGCAAAAATGGTACTCAAGCTTCCACGTCAACAACGTCCAAGTTGAAGCTCCAACTGCATCTGACAAGCGCGCCACATAGCATTATGTTAGGAATTGAAATCCTTTTGTTCAATATACTTAATCTGCACGTCGGCCAATTTGCTCATACTAGCCAAGCTAGAGTATTGGACACTTCGCCTAAAGTAAATGTCCAATTTACAGTGTTATTAGGAACATTTTTCCGAGACGCTGCCGTGGAAGCCTTAACTCGACACTGAGGCTTCCGATTATAATTCTAACTTACAATAATTCGTTACATGGAGCCATACATGTACTCCAGGCCTATATGGGAGTTGTGAATTCGAAACATTTGGAGTTTACAGTTAATTTGTCCACTATTAACAGAACAGCTTTATTTATTATAATACTTCTGTAATAGTAATAAACAAGCGGCCCCCACGAGTTTACAGTTAAGCATAATATTTGTGTACCCATTTGAATACATATTTTGGCGATTAGGTTAAGAACTAATTTTCGAGGAATTGATTGGCTGATTCTCCTGCACCTTACTGTAAATGTTAACGTAAATATCCAATAAATGATGCGATTCACTGTCAAGTGAAACTGACTACATGCGAAATAGTGTGAATCGACACTAATAAATGGTTCTTTACCATTATTCGAATGTTTATTGCACAATTCGCTCAACTTGATGGTACGCAGCGCCATGCACCTCCATTGCGTACCGAAGAATGCTCTCATGGACACGATAGAACACGCGACACCAACCTCAGATTCCCATCACCCTTAGGGGCTCCGCTGAAATCGTCACGGAATTCTTTGGTTTCAGCATCAACAAGTACGTACTGCCCTCTGATCCACATCGTGTGCGTTCCGTCGACCGAGTTGACGACTCCTGTAGCATCCTCTATCAACGAGGCATCTACCCTCCAGAAAGCTTCACGCGTGTGTCCAAGTATGGTCTGGCCATGGTCGTCACTGCCGATGAAAAACTCAGCGCGTATCTCAAGAACGTCCTCGACCAGCTAGCAGGTGCACATGCCTACATACGTCGAGTTCAGTTGTCGTGATGCGATTGCAGGATGGCTCGTGGAGAGCCAAGTGCAGAAGCTCGTGGTCGTCGTCGCCAACGCCAACACAGACGACATCCTCGAGCGATGGATGTTTGATGTGTACGCGGACCCGCCATCCGCCCACGGGTATGTCCGTTGCACTCGATTTCGTATCGTACTCACTCGTATCTAGCGTCAATAGCGCTGCAGAACTCAAACCAGCGAAGGTCGTCATGAGCGAAATACAAGCCATCATGCGTCAGATCACGGCCAGCGTGTCGTTCCTACCGCTGCTGAATGACCCGTGCACATTCGACCTGCTCGTGTACACAGACAGGGACGTGCATGTGCCTCAAACTTGGGAGGAGTCGGACCCGCGCCTCGTCGAGAACTCGGTTGAAGTCCGCCTGCGTTCGTTCACGACCAAGGTAACCACAAGACGACAATGATGGGATGTTGATGGAATTGTTTGAGCTTGCAGGTGCACAAGGTGGATGCCATGGTCGCGTACAAAGACCCCGACACGACCATCTAGCTCGACTCCACGGCGATACACGGCTTGGTCCAGGGATGGGCATGATGCATGTATGCGCACATGGATAGAATAATGAGATTTGAAACCAATAATGTGGTTGGGATACATGATCAATCATCTCGCTCGATACTGCCGTGATGACATGGAATCGCCGCCTTCGGACCTCGATGGATTTGGCTTCCAGGAGAGTACCGTGTGCAGCATGCGACGCATCCATGACAAAGTCTAGCGTTTGTTTCTCATGTAGTTTTAACCTTGGTAAACTTGGTCGTGAGCGCGCCCACCGCTTTCTTGAAAGTGCCTTCGTCGAAATGGCCTTCCTCGTCGAAGAATTTGCCCACGTACAGCTTCTCCTCGACGTGCTTTGGCTGCGCGACGGATTCGATGCGGAGTGTGTAGTATTCCTGGAAGCGAGGGAATTTAGCGCGCACCACGCACTTGTCGCCGTCCTAGTTGGAATGCAATGATGAGACAAGACGACGACGGACGAGGAATACCTTGAGGCTAAAGCGCAGAATGATGTCCTTCTCGATCCACCAAATGTAGCTTGTCAAGAGCCCGTTGCAAATGAAGAAACTACACACCATGGTCGGTCAGTAAGGAACAACTTATGAATAGTCATGGGGGCGGCTGTCGTACATGGTCGCGCACGCAATGATGATGTAGCGGCTGTCTGGAAATGGGACGCCGCTGAAGTGTGTTCCGGCCGACACGGTGATGGCAAACGCCATGAGCAGCAGTTTCAGGTTGTCCACAGTGTAGTTGATTGTCACGGTGCTCGTTTGTTCTTCTCGAAAGTACTCGCCGACCTTATCGTCCAGGAGGTACTTTACGGCCGTCGAGTCCCCCGTGTCGATCTTCGTGTACTCTATCGCCGCAGGTCAACTTCACGTCATATCGTACGGTGCGGTCAAGTCTGTCTCTCTCTACCTTTCTCCTCCTCTTCCTCAACATCATCATCATCGTCGTCGTCGTCCTTCTTCTTCTTGGAAAACCACCCGCCCATGTTACCGCACTTGGACTGTAGACGGAATGGGAAAATGCTGGCTGCATTCCCAACATTCAACCACATTTGCCACGCGGCAAACATCCTCTTACATGTTATACAGAATATTATATTAGAAAGGTTTTCACACTTCAATTTGAATTTCATGCAAGTTGAGCATTCAGCACGAACATGTAACTCTGACGGTTGTACAAGGCACTGAACGCGTTGCCGTCCATTTGGATGACCTCTATTCCATCTCAATGATCCTCCACGGCACTGCATGTGGCCTTGGGTGTTGTTTGAAGACGAGGACAGTTCAGGAGAACAGTAGCTGGACCAAAGCTAACCGATCGAGTCACCATGGCAACTCACGTGGTTGCCACTGATGTCATTGGTATCCGTCGATGGCGATTTCCACATTGCGAATTGTACGTACATGAATGTGATCGAGACACATGCCGAGTGTCGGTGCTGCTGCAACAGACTGCAGCCGCCCTCGCCGCAGCGGCGGTCGAAACGTCCTGTCGTCGACATAGTCGGCCCGTCGATGCCATCACAGGCAACTGCGCCCCCATGAACCACCTGCCCGACGCTACAAAATACCACGTTGCCATCAACGACAAGCAGTACAACAAAGGATTGAACTGTGGTCGATGTGTGCAGGTGCAGTGCAAAGTCCCTCGATGCAAATCCAACATGATCATAACGGCGCAAGCGACGCACCGATGCCCCGAGTGTGCCCACGGCGACCTCGACATGCCGCTGCCGCTCTTTTTAGGTCTCAGGGTATGTCACGGACAAGTACGAGATCGTGGACTGCCCCGTGACGGGAGGGATCCAAGTGTGTGCGAAGGAAGGCAGCTCCTTTTACTGGCTGTGCGTGCAGCCCATGAACACCATGTCGGGGGTGAAGGCGATGAAGGTCAATAGCGGCTCGGCCCCTCCATTCCTTCCATGCGACTTCTTCATGACGACGAAACTCGGCGTGGAGTGGAGAAGACACGAACATGGAAATAATGATGTCGTGGCGAAACCCCATGCACCCAGATCAGCCAGCAGTCCCCCCGTGGACAGCCCGAACTCGACGCCCCTGGACCTGAATCAGGTGCTGCTGACGCCTTCGGCTCTCCATTTGCATTTCGTGGGTAGAGATTCTAGTCGTGAGCGTCTACGCTCAATGTCCAAAGCCCATAATGTATACATGTAATCGCTCTACCCCCTTGCGAGTTGGTAGTACTTGGTCAACGAGAAAGCAAGTGTATACTGGCTCCTATCGTAATCACATGTCACACGCAACAGCAGGGCAATGTGATCTTTGTGGTGTCAAAGTTGTGTTTTTTGTTACGCCAATTGCAAGTTGTGTACTACTTTTACTTTCATAGTATCGTTGAAGATGACAGCCGCCATCGAATCCATGGATGGCATTTAAAGGTCATTGGCTCAAGGGAGTTTCCAATGGCGCGACATATCCAATACTACAGACACCATTCCAGGATGCACGAATATCTTGCCATTTCTAACGAGTGTACGCAAACGTTTCGAGACCAAGGCCGAGGGTGTTGAGTCCGTCCAAGACTTGCGCCTTGGCTTGCACGACGCTATCGAACAAGTCGTCGACTTGCGGGTACGCACTCGGCCCTGCCGCTGACGACGGCATGACCATGCGTAGCGACGCCCGCTGCATCTTCTTGAGCCCGAGTCGCTTGGCCTGTCGTCGTTGGTCGCGCGACGAGATGGGGGTGATGTTGAACGTCCGCTTCACCAGCTCGGTCAAGTACGACGTCTTGGTCACGTCGAGGCAGGTGAAGCCTTGGTAGTTCTATCGACACGGTACATGTATATAGATTTGCCACGTATCCCGTGTCTTCATACAAACCTCCAAAGCAAACACGCGCACGGTGGAATGCTGCGTGACCACTTCCGCATGCTTGACGAGGAACACCACGAGGCTGTGCCACTGGCGCCTCGCGGCCCAGTGCACGGCCGTGTCCCCCTAAAGCTCCATGCGATCACGAACCTCCTTTCTCATGGCATGCGTTTGGTGGAGTGTTCTGTACATGTGCATCTTGGTGGGTGAGGCAGGCCCCGTGGTCCAGCAGCAGCTTGCAAACACCGCGATGGCCTGCCCGCGCTGCTTCGATCAGCGCCGTTGACTTGCTGTGAATCTACAATGACATGATGGGCAGCTGATATATATATATATATATTACCGTGTCGATCGCGTCCACTTCGGCCCCCAAGTGTAGCAAATACTCGACAATCGACTCTTGGCCACGCCTAGTCCGTCCCCAAACAACATTATCAAGCTCGAGACTTCAAGTTCTCCATGAATCTGAAGTCGTAGTTACCATGCGGCAGCATGCAGCAGCGTGCGGCGGCCTTGCCTGGGCTCCTTGTTGTGCATGTTGAGCAACCTACGACCCACTGATGAGCACCGTTGTCATCCACTACTTATTATTAGTGGTCCTCATGCCGTATTCAGTAAAGAGTGTCGTACTTGGCCGTGGAATCGACCAGAAAGAACTTTTGCACGACGTCCAAGTCGCCCTCGGCCACTGCGCGCCACACGTCGCCAGTGTACTTCATGAGAAACTTGCGGGCGTCGGCGCGCTGGCTCTTCTCCGCGTCCGTGTCGTCCACCCCTTCATCCACTGCCTCTCGTGCTTTGCGCATGTCGTCCAGCCGCACGCGTTCCGCTTCCGTCTTGGCCCTAAGCTCAGTTGATCAAATGACACCATAATGCGATGAAAAAGTAGACGGCCATCATGGCATGTTGTCGTTCAAGAGATACACCGACGAGATCGCATTACTTGTATGTGACAGATCGGCTGCGACGAGCCCCCCCCCCATCATCCTGTGCCAAAAATGAAGTGGCCACCACCATCGTGTCGCTGCGTCAATTCTCTTATCCTACCAGTGCAACGCCGGTCGGGGCATCATCGCGGGGTTTTGGTTGGTCCTCAGGTACCGTAACACTGCCTTGAGTTTGCAATCCCTCTAAATGTTTCACGGTCGCCAAGCGCTGCTCGAGCTGTCGTTGGGAGCGCTTGGCTCTCAATCTGGTCATGGTGGATAACGCGGTGGCTTCCGTGCCGTCGTCGGGGCCTGCAAAAAGCGACTGGGCAAACTGTTCGTCGTCGCCGTTGTTGGGCATTGCCGGGTCGTCGTTTCCTAGTCGTCCTTCGGAAGCATGCTGCATCTGCTCGGCCAGAATGTGCTGCAAGTCGACCATCTCGATCGCAGTCGCCCGCGTTGCCACGGCATTCATCAGCGAGCACTTTCGCATGTCCGACGTGGTTGTCCGGTCCATTCCGTGCGCGATGGCGGCGGTGGTCTGGGACTTGGTTCTGTCCATGTTGTTGCGCGCGTCGACTTCCAAGCGCTCCCTCGACGCCACTTCAGACTCCACGCTTTGGACGAGACAGTCGTACTGGGACACGACGTCGCCCACCATACGCAGGCCCTCGTCCACGCGGCGAACGTCGGGATCGATGCGTCGAAAGGCTTTGCGGACCTGTCCAATATGATTGCATTCACACACGTATGCAGGCTTCATGATCTCGGTTTTGGTACCCCGATGACGTTGGATCGCACATCAAACGCCATCGTTTCAATGCGCGAGTTCTGGAAGATGGGGCCGTTCAGCTCTGGGGCGACAATCGCGTCGTTCCAAGACTGCTGGCTCAAGCAGTTCAGACCACTGAGAATGCGACTGCACTCCTCAATGATCACTGTTTTGCCGTTGCAGGCGCGGACGTAGTCCGCCCCCTGGCGACAATTGTTAAGGGAAAGGAACAGCCACTTGCTGGTGCTTCATACTGAGGAAGACGTACCGGCGACTGGCTCAATTGGGTTTTGATCTGCGCTTTCTCAAATACATTGCATGCATTGAGCGCCGCTTGGACAAGGGTGGCGGCACCGATGCCATGCTTGTCCCGAGGTTCACCAAGTCCGTTGTCAAGGGCTTTGTCCAACAGCCCACTCAACTACAGCATTGTGAAAAACGTGATAGAATAAGGATGGCCAACCTCGTCATAGCGCTCAATTGTCCACTTGGAACTGTCTCGTTCCTTCAAGAACGCGCGCTCCAGCTCCTGCTTGATGGCCTGGAGGGGCACTTGCGCCATGTGGTGATATGGTACTGTATCGACGAAAGGTCGTGATCTTGCAACAAAACCTCTATTGTTTCATGTCAACCTGCAATATTACATACTTCAACTCGTCATTTTCCTGTTCATGAATTGCCACATCCGAATTTGATTTGCAACCTTGTTGCGTTAATGTCAGGAGCTGTCGTGATCGTCGGCGCCGGCGTCGTTGGACTCACCACGGCGCTCCAACTCATCCTGGATGGAGTGTCGCCATCACAGATCACAATCGTCGCCAAAGACGGACCGGAGAAGTCGACGTCGTTTGTAGCTTGGAGCGTTGTGGGAGTGGTAACACGCACACCCATTTACTCATCCCCCGCCACCTAACCATCCCATCGTAGTCCTCCGTATCACATGGAAGCGAGTCCAAACGCCTTAAAGTGGTGTGAAGCTACGTTTCACAAATGCGTGCAGCTCATGCGGTAAGCCTTACCGCAACCTAATCTCCCAACAAGGTGTCCTAGGGAATACCCCGAGAGCGGCATGCACATCGTTCCCAACATCACCGTGAGTCAGCACCCCCTCAAGACGAACACTGCGGCCAAAGCCATGACCCCTACCACCTATCGAGAAAGCTCCGACCTCACGTCTCCCGCCATGACGTCGTGGCTTCAAACTCACGGCACGGCGGAACTCGGCTCGTTCCGTCATCTCCAGCACTATGATGCGGTCGTGGCCGACATGGGGGTGTACCTCGGCTGGCTGAAGGATCAATTGGCGTCTCACCGTGTCCACATCAACGCCCTGCATGTAACCGATCTCCGTGCATTGGCTACCCCTGGAACGATTGTCGTCAACTGCACTGGCCTCTTCAAAGAGGACCCGGCCATCTTCCCATGCAAGGGCCAAGTGGTGATGGTGCACGCTCCGTGGATCCGATCCGCAATATGCGACGAAGATTCCGGCGCGTACATGATTCCTCGGCCGAACGGGAACCTCATCTGTGGCGGCACGGCGGAGAACGGTGTTTGGAACACCGATGTCCAAGCCGACGTGACGGACAAGATCTTGGCCAAATGCGCGCTAGTCGTGCCGAGCGTCGCGCGCGCCAAAGTTGTGGCTGCCCGCGCAGGGTTGCGACCTGAGCGGAAGGGAGGAGTCCGTGTCGACCTTGAAAAGAGTCCGGCCGGTGGATTCGTCGTTCATCATTATGGTGAGCGAGCTACATGTTGGACGACGACGGAACCAAATATGTGACAGCGAACGATATAGGACATGGCGGGTCGGGGTTTTGTCTTGCGTGGGGAACGGCAGTGGAAGCATCGTCCCTCGTACGCCAGTGCCTCACCCTTCGAAGCAAGATGTAAGCGCAAGGGTAGATGCAGATATGTACTACTGTAGCCACATCCATTGACCATCATCGATGCCACAGCAGTAGATCATTTAGACGAATCACAAACCATTACGTAGTATTTCTTTGTCATTCTAGCCAATGAAAACTGTTCCGTTTTCACCCCAGAACTAGCTAGTATCAGTGTCAAATCAGGTACGAAGTATCCGGACAATAATAATGGATTAATCTCTGATTAACTCAACTTTACAATTGCTTCCGTTAAGGATTGGCTATAATACGACAAATTTGGGTTCAAGCTTCTATGATTGGTTAAAATGATTATCATTTAGACGAATCCCAAACTATTACCTTGTATTACTCTGTCATTCTAGCCAATGAAAACTGTCCAGTTTTCACCCCAGCATTTAGAACACGTGGCACGCAGCATTTTTGGGCGCGTCGCCACGTTCATTTCGGTTTCCACAGCGCATCGAGCGAGCAGCAGGATGAAGCTTCCCGTGGTGTCCTTCCTCATGGCGATTGCCGCCATCTTCGTGCACATGCCTACCGTGGTGGAAAGCAACCTGGCAGGCGTTGACTTTGGCGGCGAGTTCTTCAAGATTGCCCTCGTCAAGCCCGGCAAATCGTTTGAAATTGTCACCAACGTACACAGCAAGCGGAAGACCGAGACGATTGTGTCGTTCAATGGCGAAGAACGTCTGTTTGGTGCCGACGCCATGAACATTGAAGTCCGTCGCCCGCAGAACGCGTACTCGCAGATCCGTCGCCTCCTCGGCACAACCGTGACCCATCCGTTGGTTGAATCCATGACCAAGTCCGAATACTTTCCATACACATTGACGCATAACGAAACGCGCGGGTCCGTTGGGCTCAAGCACGACGACGAGCACACGTTCCACGCGGAAGAGCTCGTGGCGATGGTGTTCACCCACGCGAAGACGATCACGAACGAGTTTGCCGAAGGTCCCGTCAGGGACTGGGTCGTGACCGTGCCGAGCTACTTTGCCGAAGCCCAGCGCCAAGCTGTGATTGACGCGGCAGAAATCGCCGGCATTCGCGTGTTGTCATTGATCGACGAAAATACTGCCGCCGCGCTCCACCACGCATTGTCCATCGACGTGCCCGAAGTCGGCAAGCCGACGCGCGTCATGTTCTACAACATGGGCTCGACGTCGCTGCAAGTGTCCGTGGTCGAGTACACCAGTCGCATCGTGCCGGACGGGTTCAAGAAGAACAAGACGATCGTGGACTTTGAAGTGCTGGGCAAGTCCTGGGATGAAACGTTGGGGGGATCGCAGTTTGACCTCCGGCTGGCCGACAAGTTTGCGGACGAGTTCAACACGAAGCTCAAGAAAGGCGACGACATCCGCCTCGTTCCCCGCGCCATGGCCAAGCTCCGCGCCGCCGCGCGCAAGACCAAGATTGTGCTGAGTGCCAACGAAGTGATCCCGGTGGTCGTGCCGAGCTTGCATGCCGACTTGGACTTTAAGAGCAACGCCAAGCGCAGCGAGTTTGAAGCGTTGTGCGCCGACTTGTTTGGGCGCGTGCTCGGCCCCGTCGAGTCGGTGCTGCAAAAGACCGGGTTGGCCAAAACCGACCTCAGCGCCATCGAAATCATCGGCGGCGGCGTCCGCATCCCCAAGATCCAGTCGCTGCTCAAGGGGTACTTTGAGCGCGACCTGGGCCTGCACTTGAACGGCGACGAAGCCATGGCACTTGGCGCGGCGTTCCACGGCGCGAACCTCAGCACGGCGTTCCGCGTGCGCCACGTCGGCATGACCGACATAGCGTCGTATCCCGTCGGCGTCCGTCTCGTGGACTTGCATCGCGAGCATTCCGCGGCGGACGACGGTGACGACAAGCACTGGGTGAAGCGCGCATCGCTGTTTGGCGACGCCCAGCGACTGAACGTCAAGAAATCGGTCTCGTTTTCCCATTCCACCGACGTAAGCTGCACATTCCGGTACGACCAGCCGTCTGGCCTCCCCGCGGGCACGTCGGCGCTGATTTCGCGCTACAACATCACGGGCATCGACGCGTTTGTGTCCAAGTATGCCGACAAGAACCTCGGCGAGCCCAAGGTCACGCTCACGTTTTCGCTGGACGGAAGCGGGCTGGCTCATATTGTCAAGGCCGAGGCGTCACTCGAAGAAGAAGTCGAAGTCGTGGAGAAAAAAAAGATCAAAAAGGATGGCGACGACAAGAAGAAGACGACCAACGACGTTGAAGCCGATAAAACCGAGGCGAAAGCAGAGGACGACGATGTCAACGATGTCGAAGACAAGGTTGAGTACGAAGAGATCAAGACGCTGCAAAAGAAGGTCCACCGCGGGCCGTTGGTGGTCGTGCGCGCCGACGGCGTCCACCGCCACGACGCTGGCATGTCGATTGTGCCCATGAGCGTCCGCACCAAGAAGGAATCGATCGCGCTCTTGTCCGAGCTTGACAAAGCCGACAGCATCCGCAAGACCAACGCCGAAGCCAAAAACCGCCTCGAAGCGTTCGTGTACGAAGCGCGCGAGTACCTGAGCCAGCAAGAGGAAGCGGTCGCGTCCGTGAGCACCCCCGACCAGCGCGAGAAGCTCGCGACCGAAGTCGACGCGACGGAAGAGTGGCTGTACGAAGATGGAGACGACTTGGACGCCAACGCGTACAACGAGCGCCATGCCCCGCTGCGCGCGCAGTTGGACGCGCTCGCGTTCCGCGTCGACGAGCTCGCGGCGCTTCCTGAAGCCATTTTGAAGGCGCAGCAGTATGTGATTTCCACCAAGGACCTCATGGAGCAGTGGGCGACCGAGAAACCCCAGGTGACGGAGGCCGAACGCGGCGACATCGTGGCCAAGGTGGACGAGCTCGCGGCATGGATCGAGGAAGAGCAGGCCAAGCAGGCCGCCATCCCCAAGCATGACACGCCCGTGCTGACGTCGGCCCAAGTGCTCAAGAAGGTTTCGTTCGTCAAGAAACTCGTCACGGCGCTCGGCAAGAAGCCGAAACCCGTCGTGGAAAAGAAGAAGGAAGAGTCGGAGAAGAAGCCCAAGAACGACACTGCCGACGAGACCCCCCCGGAGGACCTGGACGGACATGACTCGAAGAAAGATGTTGAGGACAAGACGCCCAAGGAAGGAGATGCGAGCACCTCTGACGATAAGAAGAAGGACGAGCTGTAGAGGTACCAATAGGTTTATGAACACGATAAGTATATTCCCATCATTTTGGACGAGTTCAATTGTTATAACTGACTGTAAGCTGTCGACGAGAGTAATTCACATTGTCTTCCGTCAACTGATTGGCTATAATAAGTATAATTCATATGGTCTTCCGTCAATGATTAGCTATAATACGACAGTTTTGTCGTATTATAGCCAATCATTGACGGAAGACAAGGTGAATTTTAACCAATCTGAAAGGAGGATTGGACGACGTTATCCGGATACCTCGAATTGACACTGATGCTACCGCGCCGATTGCCGCTTGGCGCAGTGGAGAATGAGGATGGGAAAGTGGTGATCCCTCCAAGTGCCCGCGCTGATGGAAGTGTGCGTAAGGAGATACGAGTGCGCCAGGGATTTGTCCCCCAGGATGAACAACCTATGTATCGCCCCAGGGCACTACGACAGGCAGCCGGAGCTGCATCGACTTCGACGCCACCGAAGCCTCGTGCAGTAGCTGCCCCAAAAGACTCCGACGACCTCTCGGCATGTATTGATTCCCTTTCGATCAGCGATGAAAAGACAACGATGCGAGATCAAACCCGACGCATTCCCTTGGGTGCCGTGGAAACAACGTCGGGAGAAGTGGTCATTCCTTCATCTGCACGGGCCGACGGGTCGGTGCGGAAACAAATTCGCGTCCGACCTGGGTTTGTGCCTCAAGACGAGCAGCCTACATACCGTCCCCGCGGCCTCCGATCCCCCTCCACTCGACAAGATCAGGATTCTGTCCTGCCAGAGCATGCCACATCACCTGCCCCAGCCCACGACGAACCGGTTTCGGAAGGTGGCATCGACGTCGCCGTCCTGACGAGTCCTTCTCCACCACACATCCAAGACGTCTCCGGCGTCGACTTGGATACCACAGCAAGTCGTGCCTCCTCGTCGAACCGCCGCGACTCAACGACTTCTTCCAAGCAACAATGGACACGACGTGATCGCCGAGAAAGCCCATCGCAACCACCAAAGTCCCATCGCCACCATACTCATACTCGCCATCCCCAATATCATGATGCACCTAGCGTCAAGCCAGGACCTTCGAACACCCCGAAACGCTCTCCCAACACACTACGCGTGGTTGAGCTTTAACAAATCCCTCCAACTATATAGCCATAGACCCGTTTCAATTGCTACTCAAATACCGACCGCCTTCGCGCGTTGCTACCCAACACATCCTTCCGCAGCTTTGAATCATCGTCAAATGTCTATTCTTCTTATGTAAATACGCCCTCGTGTGCGGTGTGTGGTCCTACGCAGACGCTTCGACGTAGGCGGCGGCCAGCCCTTGGACATGCGCGACGGACGCGTCCGTGCCATGGTCGATTTCATATGTCAAGTACTTTTTGAACAGCGCCTTCATCTTCTTGGCTGACAGCGACAGACTCAGCGCGCGCTCAAACAAGAGCCGCGTGCTGTCTTGGGCGCCGTACTTGATCTCCCGGTCCAGATAAACGTTCCAGAGATCCATCTTCTTGGGGTACGTGGCCACGAGCTGTTCAAATACCGTGCGTCCGTGCTCCTTCTCGTTGAACTCGTACTGCATGAGCGCAAACTTGGTCAGCACCTTGACGTGCTTGTGCTTGGGCAGCGACTGCATGCTGCGGGAGAGGAGCTGCCGCGCAGTCGGCGCGTCGCCCGCCGCCATGTGAAACTTGAGGCTACTGAGCCACACCTTGGCGCTTGTGTTGAACTTCTTGTGCATGGTCTTGAACGTACTCAGCACGTCCTCGGCTTGGTCGTGGCGGGAGTAAATCTCGATCAGCTGCAGGTACACTTTTTTGGGGTCGTTGGCGCGGATGGCAGAGTTGAACACGCGCTGGAACGACGCTTCGTCGCCGTGGTCGTGCTCAAAGTTGAGGAACGCCACCCACACGTTGAACTTTTCTTGGACGTCGCGGAACGAGATCTTGGACGTCGCACGCGTTGCCACGTCACGGGCGGCGGCAATGTCCGTCTGCGACACGTGGAACGCCACGTACTGGATCCACAAGAACGAGTTTTGGGGGGATACGGCCAGCAGCCGCTCAAAGTCGTCGGCACTCTCGGGCACGCTGTCGCCCGCCGCCAACGCGCGTTCGCGGTACGCCACGTACATGTCTTCATGCTCCTTGAGGCGCTTCTTCATGCGCTTCAACTTGGACTGAGATGCTGCGTCGTCGCCATCTTGTTCGTCGTCCCCGTCGGCAGCCGCAGCAGGTTGGTCGATCGAAAACCCATCCCATGTAAAGTCGGCATGCGGGGCTTCCACCGGTTCATTCTCGTCGTCGTCATCATCATCGTCGTCTTGGCCCATTGCATCGTCAGAGTCGTCGTCGTTGATGTCCACCGCAGCAGCGTCGCTGTCGTCGTCGCCGTCCATGTCGACATCGTGCACTTGCCGATTGTCCTCTTCCTCCACTTCTACCTCGTCTTCTTCGTCCTCTTCTTCGTCGCTGCTGACATCATTTTCAAAATACGACGGCTTCAACCCCAGCGACACGCGGCCGCCTTCGACCTTGAGTACCTTTGCCTTGACGTAGTCGCCCACAGAGAATACCCCGTCAAGTGACTTGACTTTGGCGTCGGCCACTTCGCTGATGTGACACAGTCCACTGACGCTGCTGTTTTCCAGCAACACAAATACACCGTACGTTTGGATGCTGCGGATCGTGCCCTTGACCGTTTGACCCACCGTGAGCGACTTGACCGTCAACTGGCTCGTGGAGCCGGTCACCACGGACGCCTTCAAACTCAATTCGACTTTGCCGTTGTCGACCTTGGTCACGCGACCGGCCACGAGCGTACCCGGAGGGAACGTCGCCGCCGGCTCCTTGACGAACTCGTCACTCAAGTCGCGGAGCATCACACGCGCCGTGACCGATCGGTGCAGACGGACAAACACTCCGCCTGCCGCAACGGTGGCCACGTAGCCCGAGACCAAGTCGCCGACTTGGGGCAATTTGCCCTTTTGCGCCGCGTCCGCAGCCGCGTACTGCTTGGGGTTGGCGAGCGCGCCCGCCTTGACCGTGAGTTCCAACGACGGGTCCTTGCTCAGCACCACCGCCTGCACGAACGTGCCGTGCACGAGCCCCGCCAGCGGCAAGTTGGACGGCGTGTCTTCGACTTCACTCACGCAAATCCGGCCAAATGTATGGGCGCCCACTTGCAGCATCACGGACGGAGCCGCGAGCGCACGCACCTTGAGGTTGACGCGGCCCAGCACAACCGAGCCCACTTCCAGCGCAGACCGGGCCTTCTTGTGCGTCGTCAGGTCGAGCGTCTTGGCGTCGGGGTCGCACGACAGCACGCGGACGGACAGCGGCGTGCCGACAGGGAACGACTGCGCAAACGACGCTAGCGCCGACGGGTCCGTGGACAGCTCGAGCACGTGCACGAAGCCCACGACGCGGGCACTGAGGCGCACCATGACCCCGTCCTTGGTGGTTTCCACGACTACGCCGGGCAAGAACTTGCCCGACTGTAGCAGGTCATACCCGGCGTCGGCCCAGTCGGCGCGGGGGGTCAAGTTGTCCCCGGTCTGGTCCGCCGCACGCAGCGACACGTTGAGGGAGCGGAAGTTGGCGACGTTGTCTTCGCCCACGGGCTTGCGCTGGTTGGCGCCCTTTTCAACCAACGCGACGATGCGACCGGTCACGACCGAGTTGACGGCGAACGCGTCAAACGGGTGGCTGCCCTTGGTCGTCACGTCCACGTCCACAATCGACACGAACGCGTTCACTTTGCCTGTGCTCGTGGAGCACTTGATTTTCAGCTCCATCGAGTCTTCCTTGATGCCAACGATGCGGCCAGTCACCGACGCACCAATCACAAAGTCCGACCCGTGGTACTTGGGCAAGTGCAGTTCTTGGTTGTCCTTCTTCGCCGACTTGGTCCCCTTGTTCTTTTTGATCGACGTTGCCAGCACCACGAGCGGCAAGTCGCTGAACGGCGCGCTCCCCTTGGCATGCCCCTTGACAATCACCTTGTGCACTTGGCCAACTTCCAGCGACAGGTCGTCGCAGGTTGCCGCCGGTTGGTGGAACGAAGCGACTTGCAGCAGGGCCACCGCGTGAGACTCGGCTAGCGTCACCACGGCATACTCGTCGCGCAAGAGCAAGATGGTCGCGTCTACGTCCGTGTCGTTGGCAAGACGAGCCGCCGCCTTGCGTCCTTTTCTGTCGCCGGCCTTGACAAACTCGGCGGGCAGGGCGTGGCCATAGTACACTTGCTTGTCAAAGTCGTAGTCGACCAAGCGGAGCTTGACCTTGTCGTTCTCGGTCCAGTCCAAGTCGGTTGTGTTGGGAACCACGACCGTGGCGTCGTCCTCCGCCAACGCACACACGTGGCCGTACTTCTTGGCCGAGATGAACACGGCCTTTTCCGAGTGTCCGACGGTGTGCGCGATGATCGGTGCGTGGGACGCGGCATGCTCCGCCAACAAAGCGGAGAGGCCATCCACGGACGGCGACGGCACGCGAAAGTCGAGCATGAACTGGCTCTTCTCCGCGTCCACCTTGTGCACAAGGCACTGCACCGTGTCGCCGATTTGGAACAATCCGTCGGGGGAGCTCACGAATCGGTCCGTGAGGAACGCGATGGGGGCGAGCGCCTGCAAGTTGTTGAGGAAGCTCACAAACACCCCAAACGGGCGGATATCGCGCACAAAGCCCGTGACCAGCCGCCCTTCGGCCACGTCTTGAAACGTGGACGGCATGGTGGCCTTGTGGGCCAAAAGCGTCGGCTTCTTGGTCAAGTGGAGCAGGCCGTCTTGCGACTGGAACAAAACGAGCGCGTCAAACGTGTCTTCCACCGCGATGGAAGGCGAAAACAAGCGCGGGAAGTCGGTCAAGTGGGCCAGCGGGAGCACGCCGTCGATGCCGTCGGCCGTTTGCACGCGGACGACCGAGTCCTCCACGTCGGTGACGGTCACAGACACGACGGTGCCCGCCGCGACGGCAGGCGACGACGACGGGAGCGACCCCTTGGCGCCCTTGCCGGACGTCGAAGAGGACGACTTGGTTGTGTCGAACGTAAGCGTCATGCGCTTCTTGGTGGCGTCGCAGCGGGCCACGGCCACCTTGACCACCTGTCCCGCAGAGTAGGCGGCCGCAATGTCCTCAACTCCCGCGTTGTGCAGCGTAGCTGCCGGCACGAGACCGAACACACCGTTGTAGAAGCCGACAATGAGCCCAAAGTCGGCGATCTTGGTCACAAACCCGTGGGCGACGGTGCCCGGGGTCGCCTGTTCGTACGACGTCAGCGGTGTCAAATCGGACGCGACGAGACCCTTCTTGAGCGTGAGGTGGGTCCGCTTGGCCGCGACGTCCACTTGCAGCACGCGCACGTCGATCACATGGCCTGGTTTGTACTTGGACATGGTCTTCTTGAGTGCCACCGTGGGCGCATGGGACGAGTTGACGACGCCCCGCACGCCGTCGCAGATGTCGACGAGGATGCCCCACGACTCGACCGACACGACTTTGCCCTTGATGAGCGACCCCGGTACCAGGTCCGCCTGGCGCAGCACCGCCTTGGTCAACGCGGACGGCGCCAACGTCAAGTTGACGAGCCCGTCGAACGCACAGTACCCAACCACGCGACCCGGGACCACCTGGCCTACCTTGAAGTGTTTGTCGAGCTTTTCAATGCGCGAGTCGGCAACGCGGGAGATGTGCGCGAACGCCGGCAGGAACTCCTTCCACGACAGCCGATCGCCGCCGACACTGGCCGGCCCTGCCAGACTGAGCAGCATGCCGATGCCCGCGTCGATGCGATGCACCACGGCGGTCTCGACAACATCTCCGATCGCCTAGCCACAAACCACCCAACTGTTGGTCGCATGTTGATATGACAGGTCGACTACTAGACAATAGACAACCATATATTTCTCTCATTCTCTCCGGACGTACTTGTTTGAATTCCGGCGCTTGCAAGTAGACAATGTGGGGTGCCATGGACAGAGTCACGGCTTTGGTAGTGCTGTCAATCCCGATGATACGCGCGCGGCCCTTGAGCCCCTTGCTGTACGCGGCAGCCCAGTCCTTCTGGCACGGGTTACTCATGTGGTTGTACTCGACCGTGCCCGAGAAGAAGGTGAGGAAGTTGACTTGCAGGCCGTTCGCGAGCACGTCCTCGACCTTGACGTTGAGGAGCATGCCAAGCGACAGAGTGGACATGGTGAACGAGTCGCCGCGGGTGATGGCTTTGACCGCCACGGCGCGCTCCGTCGTCAGCGTGGCCGTGTTGGTGTGCACGTTGACACCCACGACGACGCAAAAGAAGAGCTGACCGGGGCGCGCTTCCGTGTGGCCGTCCGGCAAATGCAAGTCCTTGGTCGGGATGAAACCGGTGAACCCTCGGACGCCGAGGTTCACGATCACGCCGTGGTCTTCGACGCTGACGACGCTGGCGTAGATGGACGCACCTTTGACGATGTGCTTGACGCTCTGGTTTGCGTTGACGAGCGACGTCCGGAGCGACAGCTCGATGCGCTTGCCGCGGTCTTCCTTGGAACATTTGAGGACCACGCATGCAACGTACTGTCCGATGTGGAAGAGGTCCGTGAGGGTAGACGTCGACGAAGAAGAAGAAGATGCTTCGTCGGACGTTTCCTTGCGCGCGACGACGCCGTTGAGTTTGTTGGGCAAGCTCACCACGAGGTCGTGCTCGTTGATCTGACGAATGACCCCCATGACCAGCATCTGCGGACGCAACGTCTTGAATGTGATGACATGGGCCAATGCTGGCTTGGCGTCCGGAGCGGACTTGTCGGCGGCAGTCGACGACGACTTGACGTCTTTGGATTTGTGGTGCTTGGGTCGTTTGTGGTCGGCACTACCTGCGAGCGTGTCGTCGACGACGGACTTATCCTTCTTGCCGAAGAGGACTTCCGAATCGGACGTCTTCTTGCGCTTCTTGGACGCATCCTCCTCTGCGGTCTTGGGCTTCTTGCCGCGCGGAAAGCTCGCGTCCATATTGGTCAAGTTTTGATTGTGTTTGAATGTTGGCGTTTCCAACAGATTTTGGTTGGTGCAAAGCTGTTAAAACGAAATGGCCAATCAGATTGCACCATTTTGTTCCCAACTTGAAGGGACATTTCATGGCGCGCAAATCAACCCGGGACCGCGGAAATTGGACCAAAGAAAGCAGCATGTCAACACCAAGTGGCCATGTTCATAGCTCAGCAGTGCGCACATAGAACGACCTGTGTGTGTGTGGACTCATCATGCAATTGAGCACATCCTCGATACTTTTTAACCAGACTACTGTATCTCACGTAGAGATTCCCAACGACAACGATCATGGCTTGGACGTCACCCAGTCTCCATTCGAATGTCCTTTAGAATACTACAATATTGATACATCTGACACCAGACCATGTTTGCATAACGTTAACGTGGTGTTACGTGCAAATCGCATGTTGCACAGTTCGTATCGTCGTCCATACTGTATTTCATCCGTACCAACTCTGTCACATGCACTTTGCACATCTCCTTTACTGTTTTCAAAGAACTTGGTGTCCAAACGGATTCACGTCATTACTTTTATTACAAAATCGCGACATTCGAATCGTTGTTGCGTCGCGTGTCGGCATTGCCAAAGCGCGTAATTTGACTCGACTCGGACTCTTTTTCGTCCATGTACTTGCTCCTCGACTTCTTCACGACGTACACGATGGCCATCACGGCTAGCACAAATGCCACGCCGCTGCCAAACACGACATACACGGTGCTGCCCGAGTCGCTTTGGCTGCTGGCTTGGACGCTGATTACGTTCTCCGCGCCTCCAATCGCAGTCGTGGGGGCCGTGGGTTGAGGGGGGGCGTCGCTGACGGCTGGGGGCGCCGTCGTGGCCTCCGTGCTGCTGCTGCTGGTGGTGCTTTCCCCGTCTTTGGAGGAGGCGGAGGCGTACGGAGCCGCCGAGGTGGTTTCAGGGGCGGCCGACGTCCAGTTACGTTCAGGGGCGTCGGTGGTCGATTTGGTGGCGACGCTTTCGGTTTCCGGTTCGGTGGACGTAGGGGCTGCAGGGGTCGACGGCGCCGAAGTGGTAGTTGATATGTCCTTGGTGGTCGTGGGAGCTGCGGCGGTAGTCGGGGCGGCGGATGTGGTCGTAGGCGTGGCGGCGGATGAGGTCGAAGGCGTGGCGGTGCTTGACGACGGCGGCGGAGGTGCGTATGACGATGGTGGGGGGTAGGACGAGGGTGGGGGGGTGGACGATGGAGGAGAAGGCGGCGGAGGGTTCGGCGCAGTCGGATCGAGGACGGGCTGTCCACGGGAGAACTGCTGGCTGATCTGGGTGCACTTGCCGACCGTGAGCGCCACTTTGGTTTTGATGGTTTCGCCCGCCCACGACGTCATTTCCACTTCCGTGTCTTTGAGTTCCACACCCAGATTCGTCGTCTTGAAGAAGTAGCAAGAATCGAACGGCGGGGCCGGGCCGTTGTTGACCTTCATCGCCATCACCCCCGACACGGTGTTCATGGGCTGCACGTACAGCCAGTACTTGGAGCTGCCTTCCTTCGCACACACTTGGATCCCTCCCGTCACGGGGCAGTCCACGAACTGCCACTCGATCTTGTACTTGTCCGTGACATACCCTGTGACCTCTGTGAAGAGCGGCAGCGTCATGTCGAGGTCGCCGTGGGCGCACTCTGGACATCGGTCAGTCACTTGTGCCGTCATGACTTTGTTGGATGTGCATCGAGGGTCTTTGCACTGCACCTGCACACATCGACCACAGTTCAACCCTACGTTGTACTGCTTGTCGTTTATGGCGACGTGGTATTTTGTAGCGTCGGGCAGGTGGTCCATGGGGGCACAGTTGCCTGTGGTGGCATCGACGCCGTCAGGACCGCCGTACGTCGACGACAGGCCGGCGTACGTGGTCGCCGCGTCGGCCGCGAATGCGGCTGCGGCGAGGACGATGGCGCGGAACAGCATGAGCTCCGTGCAGATTGAGGAAGTGTGCGTCGGCAGGTGAGATATCCTGAGAGAGCTGGTTCACCCCATGTTACATACCCTCGTTCCCGTATTTTCCAAGGTGCCACATGGAAACCGACAATGTCGCGGCGAATAAAATTCCGCTGATCAAGCCAGAACTTGGAATTTGTATGATGGCTCGAACTTTTTTATTCCAGAGGGTAGAGGCTCGACTGGGAGATAATAATCAATGGCGACCCACCTAATTTCTTAGTTTGTGGACCAGGAGACACTCACTACAACCAACGCTTTGTCGGTGATATACTGTAAGACGCGCACTATAATAGATAGGATCAGGACACATACCCTACTAGAAGTAGTATACTACTAGTATACTTCGAAGTAGTAACTTATACCAGTACTACGTAGTAGCTGACATGCACATAAGGTTTAATATAACGTGAAGTGTAGTATACTGTACCGGTGGTATATTCGTGTTGGCTGTAAGCATTTGACGACGATTACATTTTGGTGCCGCTAGAATCTACTATGAAGTAGTTCCACTTGGACCTACTGTAGTTTCCGGCAACATACTGACCGGATTGGAGGATTGTTATCTTGCGGTTTGTATGCCAACACTGCCTAGATATTGACCTAGGTTTTGTATGGGACACTGCCACCATCGCACATTGTACTTCGAAGTAACTACTAACGTTACGTACTATTATAGTATTAATAGTATTGTATTACTACGTACTTCGTAGTACTCGAGTAGTATGATAACGCTATACTACTCCGGAGTAAGTAATACTACGTAGTATGATACTAGTATACACTATTAATAGTAGTATTTACTGAAGTAATATTTATGTATTACTGGTATTGTATTATGTACAAACTACTAGTAGTATACTAGAATCGAATAACTGCTTCTAGTATACTACTAGTAGTTTGTACATAATACAATACCAGTAATACAAAAATATTACTTCAGTAAATACAGTATTACTGGTATATTACTTCAGTAAATATTACTGGTATTGTATTATGTACAAACTACTAGTAGTATACTAGAACCGAATAACTGCTGGTCAGTACCGTACATAATATCTACCGTAAGTCGTCGCATTTCACAATAACTACCCTGCCAGACGATGAGGCCGAAGAAAATTAATATAGAATTATTTATTTAACTTGGTATTGATTAATCAACATTATTTATTTTATTCTCACAACTGTTGAATTTGGACGAAAAATCTCAAAATCTCATGGTAGTTATTGTGTACAGTTGAAAAAGTCGAGTTTCGGAACAGCGTACTGTATCAATGACATGCTTGAAATACAGTAAGCTTAGTATCCTTGAGACTTGACGGTAGATGTAACATGCCAGCCAGCCATTCCTCAGCTCTTACTTCTGCAGTACGTCGTCTGCTACACTGCTCAGGGTGGCTCGCCTAACGGCCCAGCAATGCCAACGCCGACCGGATAAGCTGCGGCAGAGGCAATCACCAGTTTGTGTGGACGGGACGGATGGGCACGTGCGTGCGTACATTTTAATAAAATCGAACAGGGTGTTTGTATACAATGGCTCGAAAAATGCCACCTGCACCTATTTGAGGTGTCAGCTACCGTCAAGCGTTGACATGGTGGCTCCAGCCACAAGCCAGTAAGTAGCCTGGTCGTCGCAGATTTCAAAATGCCCATCACCTCCTCTATTTTGTCGTGGGTCCTGGGAGGTCTGGCGTTGGCCGGCACGACACATGCGCAATTCAATGGCGTCGCCACGACGTATGGACCGCCCGATGGCGAGTCTCCGCAAGGCGGTAACTGCGCCCTCATGACGTGGCTGGACTTCGCACCTCGTTTTCACGCCGCGCTGAACGACAAGCAATGGTCGTCTGGAGTTCACTGCGGTCGCTGTGTGCTTGTGACGTGTACTGACCCTCGGTGCACATCGCGTGAATCTGTCCTCGGACAGGTCACAGACCGATGTCCTGAGTGTGCTCACGGCGATTTGGACATGTCGTTGCCCATGTTCCACAAGATCACTGGCTACAACACGGATAGGCTCACGATTCATTGGGACTTTGTCGATTGTCCCGTGTCTGGAGGGGTCCAAGTGTGCGCCAAGTCCGGCAGCAGCAAGCACTGGCTGTACATTCAGGCTAGCAATGCCGTCAACGGCGTCGCGAGTATGAACATCAACGGCGCCCCTGCCCCGATCTTTAGCTCGGCGTACTACTTTATGTCACAAGCGCTGGGCGTCGAGTTGGCAAACACCGTCGTATCCATGACATCTCACGGAGGCGACACGATCGACGTCAAAGTGCAGTTGGAGGCTGACAAGTGCACCCAGATTCCGCAACAGTTTGCCAAGGGTTCCCGTCCTGTGCCGCCACCACCTGCACCTACTGCACCCCCCGCCACACAGAAACCACCCACAGATCCGCCCGCGACGCCCCCACCTGCACCTACAGCACCCCCTGCCACTCCTAAACCACCCACAGAGTCGCCCGCGACACCCGCACCTGCACCTACTGC